TGTTAGATACAGCAGGACAGAATTTAGAGTTAAAAAATTCTTTAAAAAATAAAAAAAATCCATTCATTTAAAAATATTTTCATACGTAAAAAAAATATTAAGAAATAAATAGGTTTAAAAATCAAAAAATAGTATACTCCATGAGGATTAATTAGTTTTTAATTAAACTGTGTATTTACTGTGTAATCTTAACATGTTAATAATAAGATTGTGCTTTTATTATTAAATACTTGTTAGTTCTGTTTGAAGTGTTTTATCTTTATAAAACAGAAGTAATCCCCCCCCAAAAAAAATATTGAAAGCTCTTGATGTGAAGATGTGTGAGATGCTAATTATTTATGAATATATTTGCTTCCACACTTTTTCTATTTTGTTTTTCTACTTAATTCCTGTCTATCCAAAATGCAACACCATAACAAAGCACCCAAACAGCATGATACTTGCATCATATATATATGTAGATGGTTATAATTTCAGTGCATATGCACTTCGTGGGCAACTGCAGTGCTCCTTACAGTCCATATATAAAGGGGGAAAAAGACTGCCATTTTGAATAATGTCATTTGTTCTGTCTTGAGATTTTTTGTGTGTGCAGCTTTATTATGCCTTGCAGAAAAAGATGAACATCATTCAGGCATATTTTTGAGTTTGACAGAAGCATAATTGTTGCATACAGAGCCTGCAGATTAGCCTTCCGGGAAATTCAGCATTGTGTCAGACAGTTCTGCAAATATGGAATTAGTGAATGCAGAAGAAAAGTACTGAAGCAGTTGCAACTGCCTCATTGCATCAGTCCATGAGAAGATGCATATTATGCGCATGGCACTAATAGAGTGCATTCTCACATCCACAACCATATCACAATGGATGCAGTCTGCAACACAATTGGTGTCTGCATGAACATGTCGACATTGTTTATAGTGCAGTGGACTGTTCGCTAGGTGTCCACTGCGTCACTTACCTTTAAACCACAGGCGTTTGCATTTTCAGTTGTGTACTGAATGGCGGAGATGAACATCCTAATGGCCTGACATTGTGCTTTTCGACGAACCACTGTTCTGCTTGCAGTACCAGTATGGTTGGATTAAAGTTTGGAGATGCCATAGAGAGAGAGAAGCTGCTCAACTGTTGTCTTATGCATTGTCATACTGGTCCTGCACCCATTATTATGGTATAAGGTGGTATTGCATTTCACCTTCATCCCCTTAGTACACATTATAGGTACACTTACTAGCCATATACACTGGTGTGCAAAAATTAAGGACGAAGTCGAAAAATTAGCATATCAGCTGAACGAAGAGGCAGAGCAGACAGAAAGACCAATCAGGAGATTAAGTAAGGTGATGTACGGTAGCACATGCGCAGATATGCAGGTAGACGTAATAGGGAGTGTCTGAGTAGTATAAATCATGTTGTCGGTGTAAGATCAGTATTTCTGGCAAACAGATTGCACTCCGTATAGCAGTTAAAATCACACCAAGTTGCTGCCTCAGCGAGAAATGGTGAATAATCAATCTGTTAGACGACATCTGGATGCTTTACCCGAGGTCGAATCATTGGGAAGTTGGAGGAAGGCCGCAGTGCGACAAGTGTGGCTGCAGAGTTCGGAATTGCTCACAGCATCATTTCACGACTTTGGAGACAATTTCAAACTACAGGAACAGCTATCCGGGGGTTTAGTAGTGGTCGTCCACGAGGAACCACACTTGCAGATGACCGGTATATTGTCTTACAGGCCAGAAGAAACAAGCGGGAGAAATCGCTAGACACACGACACAGGCGACTGGACGACCGATATCGCATTTTACCATGGCCAGAAGACTGCATGGTGGTGGTCTGTTTGCACGACGCCCTGTACGGTGTGTACCTCTAACGCCTGCCCATCGAAGAAGGCGTTCTCTGTGGAGCCGGGAACACCATAATTGGAGAGACAATGAATGGGGACGAGTACTCTTTACAGATGAGAGCAGATTCAGTCTGAGTAGCGATTCTCATCGCATAATCATCTGGAGAGAGCAGGGAAGCCGCAATCATCCCTCGAACATCATTGAAATGGACAGGTATGGAGGTGGCGTTGTTCTCGTTTGGGGAGGCATCATGCTTGGTAGTCGTACAGACCTTCACGTCTTCGACGCAGGTTCAGTCAACGGGACCCATTATTGTAACGAGATTCTTCTTCCATATGTGCATCTTTTTAGAGACGCTATGGGTCCGCAGTTCCTTTTCATGGACGACAATGCACCATGTCATCGCAAAGTAGCTGCCGAACAGCTCTTAGAGAGTGAGGATATTGAATGTATGGATTGGCCGGCACAATCTCCGGATCTCAATCCCATTGAGCTCGTATGGGATTTTCTAGGCAGACGCTTGGCAGTTCGTACCTTACCACCAGTAACGATTCCGGAGCTTCGATTGGCGCTGCAAGACGAATGGGCAGCAATGCCTCAACAACTCATTGACACCCTCATTCTCAGCATGGGCAGACGATGTGAAACCTGCCTAGCAGTCAGGGGAGATCATATCCCCTATTAAAGACCGGATGTTTCTTGCTGGACACCCATCACAGGGATGTTTCGGCCTTCAGTCGCATTGCACTCCATGCTACTTTTTCAATAAAGCTTCTTTTTATCCCTCTGATTTCTCTTTTAGTAAGTGTTGCTTACATTACTCATGTCCTTATGTATTGGGGATCTTACGGTATTAAATGTGTTGATTTGGAAAGCTTTTGTACAAAGTTATATTGAAAAACCGTCTCGTCCTTAATTTTTGCACACCAGTGTATTTCTGAGATTTTGCAGCTCGTTCTTTTTCCTTACCTTCAGGGCATATTTTAACAGGATGGTATGCGATTTTACATTGCCTGCAGTGTTCAAGCTGTCTTCTTAGCCCATTGTACTGCATTATAACCCTGAGCTGTCTGTTTTCCAGACCGTTCAATGTAGCGCATTGGACATGATTGGAGAATGCCTAATCCTGCATGCCGCGCACACGGAAACGCAAGATGAACTTTGGCTTTGTGTGGAGGTATCATGGCTTGCCATTCCTCAAAAACATATTCAAAGCCTTTTTGACTCAAGGCCGTGGCATATTCCAGCAGTTATTGACAAATGTGGAGGCAACACTCGTTACTGGATTTCTCGTCTTCATCACATTGAAGATGGCTGTATTTCAAATCAATTAACATCGATACTCTGTGTAATCTCTGAAGTAAATTTGGCTTTGCTATATCTTGTGCTTCTTGTTGCATTGTGGATGTTACGAAGCGAATAACGATATCTAATGCGTAGTTCGCTAGGCTAGTAATACCTTGACTATTCTTGTTCGAACTATATTTTGTTTAAACGAGTTTGCATCAGTGGTAAATTTGATCTTGATTTGGATACAAAATATTCATGACGATATCTTTTATATATTTAATGAAAACACCAAATATATCTCAGTAATACACACTCGCAATGGCGAACTACAGTTACATAATGTAAAAAAACACAGAATTCTTTTGGCGCAACAGCGCCCTCTATACTATGAAAAGTTCCAACACATCCCACCTGTGCTCTTTTAAGAGCACATTAAATTTACATATCAATAATATATTTAGATATAATCAAAAATCAATATGCACGAATTAATACTGAAAACTACATTGCAAATTAAATACAATACATGAAACAAACATATATATATATAACTTTAAACTTCAAAAGGATACATTAATTGGACGGGTCTTCGATAAAGTCCTTGAGAAGTACGAATCAAACATGAACGCACATACCCATCCCTACCTTTATAAACTTCTTCTATAATTCCAATAGGCCATAAAAATTTTGATTTCGTCGACCCCTCCAGCAATACAACCTCGCCCTTTTTAAGATTCCTTTCAGGAGATGGATTTAGAAAAAGTATGCGCAGACCGTAATTCGAGGAGATAATTCTCCTTCCACTTTTTTTCCAAATTGTTTCAAAAGATTAGTTTGATACAGTTTTCTCCTAGTCAAAGTCTGCCGGTTCAATGGTTCATTCCTGAAAAGGTCGGCGAAATGTACAGGATAAGAAATATTTTCTTGCCCTGGAAACAAGAAATGGGCAGGTGTAAGAGCTTCTGGCTCTTTTATTTCATTATGGACATAAGTAAGAGGTCTAGGATTTCATCCTTAATTTCTTGTTCTTCTTTCAACAATTCATCAATGTCACTATTTAGTATGTTAATAATTTCAATTTTATTATTCAACTGTTCTAAATATGAATCACATACATCTATATCAATATCTGATTCATTCAAATATATGTTTATTTTTTCTACTAACTTTAAAGTTTGTTCACGATGTGTGTCACGCTTAGTTCGAAGCTTTAACAATTTAGCCATTTTCATAGTTTCTAGCAACAAATTTTACCCCTCAAATACTTTAACAATAAATTCTAATTCTAGAATTCTAAGAAAAACAAACTGTAATTTTCAACAAACAAATCACACTTCAAGCATTAACAACAAATTCTAATTCTAAGAAAAGCACAACATTTTCTTATTTTCAAATACCAATGCAAATATTCAGTAAATGCGAAACCTAAAGTTGTAAATTTTTACCAAACAAGATCAACAACATCAAACAACCCTACTACTTCAACAATTACAAAATATTCTATTCAACCAAATTTTCAACAAAACTATTTACTCACCCCACCATTACGATAATTCCCGGCGATTGTATTAGGTATAATATTAAGTGAATTTTTCAACTGATCATATGGTAATATATCCTCAATAAAATTAATTTTTTTAAAGAGTAGTTAACAAATTTTTTAAATATATTTTTGAGATTTAAATTCTTTTTTGAATAAATGTTTTGTATCTTTAATATTCTCATTGCTTATTTGTACAAATATGTCTTTCAATCAGGTATGGTTAATTTTATAATTCCTCTCCTCCCCTTCTTCAAATAGTCATGATTTATCAATTTTAACCTATTTTAATGATTAACTGAAATAATTTATTTCTTTTCCAGAAATGCTATGAACAAAAGCAATATAAAAATGGGTTAAAATTTGCTAAACAAATTTTAACAAATCCTAAATATAGTGATCATGGAGGTAAGTATTTTCATATTGTTAACTTTAAGGCTTAATTTTTGCATATTTCACTTGTAAATCCATTGCCTATAAGTAAAAAAAAAAAAAAAAAAAAGTCGTCTGCATAAGGTTGTCAATTTAAACCAAATATTTTTGCTATTTATTTTTACCATTAAGCCTTTTTACTTATTTACTCTGACAAAGTCTTTATTTTGATTTTTCCTTTTTAAATATACAAAAGTTGTTTTAAAGAAAACTATATGTTTTTTATGTGATTATATTTTACTCTTGTTTTGTTTTAAATCAATAAAGTGATTTGGTAATTGCTTCTGCCTTGATGAGTAAATTGTCTCGCATAAGCATAATTAAATTTTAATGTTTAAGCATCTCTACACATATATATACTTGTGTATAGTGTCAGATACATAAAAAATTAAAGATCAGCAAAACTGTTGTACTTGGAACAAAATGAATATAAAATATTGAAAAACAGATTGGGAAATGAATATGATGAAACAACAAGCAATTCAGTTTTTTTATTTCAGCTTAATGCTGATGATGATATGCAATTGAGTAACTTCTAGTACATTGTTTGATTGATTACTAATTAAGACAAAATAACATGCCGAATAAATACTAATTCAGAAGACAAACAACAAAAATCAGCATTTTATTTACAAAATTTTCACAGGACTAGTTTCGATGGTTTTACCGAACCACCATCCTCAGCTGCAAAACCACAAATGAACAAGATAGGAAAAAATGATTAGAAAAGATAAGAAAGCCTGGACAAGAATAAGCAAGTGGCGCCACTGACATATTACCGACATACCACTGACATATTACTGATTACTAATTGCTCTTTTTATTCATTTATTTATTTTAATTATATTGCTTTGCACACTGATAGCTATTAAATTTGCTACATCAGGAAAGAAACAAATAGCAGGATCTTACTTATTGTACATATACAGTGTGAAAGGATATAATTAAATTTGTAGATGGCTTGAAATACACAGTACCCAGAGTACCATAGAGATACATAATTCAGTACCCAGAGTGTCCTGTGGAAGCAGCAGCGGCTATAATCTGGCCAGGTGTTGAGTTGAACTGAGCTTTGATAACAGATAAGGGGCATTTAATTCCATGCAGCTTCAATTCTGTACCAGCGTTTATCATCAACTGTAGTGTACCAGCTGCAAGTGGTAGTGTGCCGTCTCTCAACAATCCATGACATATGTTCTCAATAGGTGAGAGATCTGGAGAACTAGTTGGCCAGGAAAACAGTTAAAAACCTTCTTTATCGAGGAAAGTCAGGACAGCACAGGAAACATGTAGTTGTAAATGTAATTGTGCATTATCACATTTAAAGATGGCATCGCATACCCCTCAAATATAGATGAAATAGCGGCTATCCACATTGCTGCCTATGTGAATAAAAAGTTACTTTGATATCGACGATATCGCACCAGGTGCTAAACTGGTATGATGATGCTGAATGCAAGTTGGCAGCATTTGTTTTTCTCAGTGCCTACATATGAGGATACATCCATTATGATGCTGTACCCAGAACTGGGATTTGTCTGAAAAGATGACATGGGGCCCCTCCTGTGCCCAGTATTATTGTTTGCTGCACCACTGTAGGTTTTCCTGTCTTGGATACTGCAATAATGGTTGCCGTGCTGTTCTCACTTCTTAGTGGTGAAGACGTCATCACATTGTCTGTGCATACATTTGTTATCCTATACACATGCACGAGCTAGGTTCCTGACTCAGGATACTTGATGTGGTTATATAATCCTTGAAGGTCGAGAAGACAACATGTTTGTCCTCTAGGGTGTTAGTGGCTCGGTGCTGCTGAAATGTTGCAGTATAGCCCTCCTGGACTCCTCGATTCCCTATTTGCCTGACCATCATGGGATCGCAGTCAACACTAGTAGCAACACGGGACAATAAATTGCAGTCCCGGTAGGCCGTTATCTTGCCGTGGTTAAGTTATGACATGTGCTGGTAATTTCTTTCTTGCATAAAGTATAACACAAACTTCACTCTAACAACCAGAGTTAAAATGTTATTTCCAAACAAGAAACCTAGATACTCGTATGTTATAAAGGCATTTAGCCAATACAATTTAGCAGCTCTTTCTGTTGTAGCATGAAGTAATCCCATGATGGATGTGATGTTGAGAGTTCTTAATGTTGAATCCCTACACTATATCAAATGTAAATGAAGAAAAGAGGCACTATAATCTCAGAGTTCGAAAAAATATGACATGGGAAGTGGGATATAAAGCATCTGCTCTGGTCATGAAGAAGTGTCAAGTCGACGACTTGAGGAGAAATAAGTTCTTCATGAAGGCTGCATAGAGGATAGGATCTCTAGTTTTGGTAGTTCGCTAGTTCGTAGTATCCATAAATATCTATAGTTGAAAAGCAGAGAAAATACTCAAACTTATTTTCATTTTTTGTTGGGCAGCACTTGTGATGCCATATGTTGGAAGGGTGTGAAACAGTTTTACAAAGCATCAGAATTTCATACTGGGAGAGTATCTGTGGGTGTAGCTTCAAAAAGTACGATAGCAGAAGCCAATCCAGAGACTGGAAATGCTATTTAGTGAGCAGTGGAGAAATCATTTGAAAATTGGCAAAGGAGGGTTATATAAGCTTTTTAGGATGCTCTATTTACTATCGTATACACTCGCATAATGTCCGCACTTTTTTTACTAAAATTACATCATTAAAATGCAGGTGTGCAAATTAAATGGGTCGTTCAAATGTTGAGCTTTTTCTCGTGAGTAATTTTGGGTGTAAATTTCATTTCAAGCAGCTGAGTTAAGTTCTAAGTGGAAGAAAAAGGCATAAGTAATAAAAGTATCAAATTTTAAATTTTTTAAGTGCTCGTGCCACAGTAAGTGTTCTTATTTGGCACGTTTCCCGTCTTACTTTGTACCTTTGAGCACATATATCACCAACATACGCAACTACTTTTATTTGCAAGTTCGGAAAGTTACATTTCGAATCACGAAACACTCTTGTTTTGTTTGTTGCCTTCAGTTGATTATGCTGTTTGCTTCAATTTGCACACACACTTTTTGTCCACCTTATATACTCTTGCTGCTGCTTTTTTTCCATTTTCCTGCGCATATTCTATGACTATCAGTTTAAAAGCTGCTGTATTTCCCCATTTCAAGCATGCTAGTTGCTAATTACCAAGAATTCCAAATGATACTATGAATGAAAAGAGAAAGTTTGAAATATGTGAATGCTCTGAGGAGGAAGGAGGGGAAGTAATTTCATTACAAAACAGTATTTCCTGGAAGCCAGTGTGATGAAAACCTGTTTGGACTGCATTCATTTATTATCGCGTCTGCCGAGTGGATTGCTGTTGCAGATGTGACTGAATTACAGCTGCACCAGAATGCAAGAAAAGTTTCTGCTTTCCATCCTGCGCCAACCAAAGGCAAAACAAATACATATTCTTTCTTTAAAGATGTTTATTGACTAATGTTATTGACAGAAGGGGAAAAGGTGGTGTTAAAAGAAATATATTTTAAAGTAAGGAATTCTTTAAATTTTGGACATTTTGTGGGTCACTTTTTTTTTTACACACATTTTATCTGTAAAGTTGGGGTGCGGACATTACACGAGCGTAAATGGTAAGTCAGCGTAACTGTTGACATTGAAGAAAGGATTTATAGCAAATTTATAGTTTCTGATCTGATGTATTGCAGGGTCTAAGTTAGATAATCCTCCTGTTGTCCTTGTTGAGACTGCTTTAAGTCCAGTTCACTCCTTCCTAATGCTTTTAAAATTCTGTTAACTTAATTTTTTAATTTTTGCTACTATTTCTGCTGACAGGATGGTGCTTCCATCTTGTTAACTTTACTCCTCTTGGGTATAAATACAACCGTGGCTTTCCCTTTATTGCATATTTCTTTGCTTCTGATGAAGAGCAAGTTAGTAGCTGGTGAAGTAGCTGTTTGGCCTCAAAATCGATAGATTCTTAACTAAAATCTATGCCAAACACAAGGTTGTTTCTTTTCGTATAGATGGTGCAATGCAGCCATTGCAGTTAAAGGAAGTTATGTCCCTTAATAAGGCTCTTTGGTTTGTTCTCCCTCTTGGCAAGATAGTTTTTTTATACCAGCGTCATTCTGTGTATAAAGTCTTCTTTTTATGCTTTTCTCATCCTTTATTACTACATTGTGCCTCTGTAATGTGAATTTCATATCTGCCTGTTGATTTTTGTGGAATTGTGACTCAAATCAGGAAATTGCTTAAGTTTTGCACACTAGTGTATTTTGTGCAGAAGTGGTTAATTTTAATGAATGCAGTAATATTTCGTTTAATTATGCATTTATGAATGCTGTCCTCTCCAAATGTCATGGTGCTTGCTTTTATAGTGTGACATTCTGTGATAGTTTCTTGCTAATTATGCAATTATTGAAATGTTTGCTGTTATCTCTCATATAGTTTTAAAGATATATTTACTAACTAGTATATTATAGATTTCATGCATCTGAATAGTTTAGCTTATATTTTAAAAAATATGTTTAATCAGCCAAAAAAATATAGCAAAGTATCTCTATTCAGCTACTTTGGGGATTATAGATGAGAGAAAATTTCATTCTTTAAAATTTGTATGTGATGTCAAATTTTTTAATTTTCCAGAAGAAATATAATTTACTGACTGTTATTCATTCAATCTCCTGGTACTTAAAAACTTAATAAGAACTAGTTTTAACGTTTTTTTTTTTTTTTTTTTTTTTTTAGAATGATCTTTGACTATTTAAAAAAATTCTTATATTAACCATTTTCCCATCTTCATGATTTACTTTAAATTCATAGTGAATTTGTTTTGTGTCATTAACAGTAGGATGTGGTAAAAGTATATTTCAGGGTACCCCTTGGCGATTTTTTGGTGCCATTCCTCATTACGTCCGACACCCTCCCCAGTAAAATGGCGTCCAACACATAATTAAAACAAAAATCATATAACCTTGATAAACTGCATTTTAAATCAAACAAGGGAATAACATAAGAATGGAAATACGTGTTATGTAATCTACACTATACAAAAGGAAATATTAACTTACCTTATTTAAAAATTTCTGTTTCTTTGGTATGCGAGACACACAGAATTCCTTAACAGCATCCAAAAAGTATTTAAAATTATCTGAACTAGAATCTGTATACTGTCGTCGCCACATAAATTCACAAAAGTAAAAATTAAAAATATTCTTCGTACTGCCAGAGGCATTTCTTTCAAAAATACCTTTTAATTACGTCCCATGTACCTTCCGAGCCATTACAAATATTTTCCCATCAATCAAATTCACCGCAATCACGTCATAATAGACTTTCCGTAACATCAAATGAAACAACTTGACGATAATCCAAGGGGTATGCTAAAATAGAGACTAACCCTAGGATGCTTTTAAAAATTAGGTATTGCTGATTTCTAATTTTTTGGTGGTTTTTGTCTACTTTGTACTTGATCTGACTTAAGTAAAAATCACTTTTGCCTCTGAATTAGAGTCAGGAACTAAGAAAGAAGAATTCTGTTTCTGTATGTTTTTAATTATTAATTCTTATTTAAAAATTTCATTTATATGTTACAAGGATGATAAACTTGCTTATTTGCATGATCGACTTTTATATATTAAAATTAGCATGAGATGAAGAAATAATTTTGGATTTTATGATAATATGGGGATCTTAAAAATCACTGTTTATGCAAAAGTCCTTTCCTCGCTCTTGCCTTTATTTTGGAGACACTGTTCAATAAGTACTGTAGCATTTCAAAAGGATATTAACCTGCTTGTAATCCTCTTTTATTATTGCTTTGCAAAAAATATCTCAGAGCATGTGTTGTGAAAAGGTCAATGCTGACACTAAACGGGGAATGTCTTCCTTCTTATTGTATGTTAAATGATAATATTGGGCCAAATAATTATAATTAAAAAGAGTGTGAATGCAACATTTCTAAAATTCTAAACAGTTGAGGAATGTCAAGCATTCTTTTTATATTTTTATTTTAAATATGACTGTGCTAATAATTTTTTTGCAGTTTGTACATCATCTTTAACATGAATTTGACTGTGAATTTATATAATTTAATTATAATTTCCTAGCAGGTATGAGCAGGGCTGAATCAAGTAAACTGGTTAATTGCAGTTAACCTGTTTGCCCAATTTTGTGTTATCAAAGCTTAATTTATACATGAATCTGTTTTAAGAAATGCTTTTTTGCAGTTTACACATTTTATTCTTGATGGATAAGGAATTTTGCTGTAAAAGATTTTTTTGTGGAATTAAAATGCCAGTCTTTAATTCTTAACACTAACTGCATGTCGATCTTAGTATCTTCCAAAACAGGTCTTTTAACAAATAACTGTGATTTTGTAGTTTATTGATTTTTTAATTTTATTATAGATAATCTTTCAGCATTGTCAAGTTCAAATATCAGTGTTTCAGTTTTTTCCTCGAGTATCATATTTATTGTTTTCATTTTTATAATGAAATATTGTTTGGTATTTCCTCAGTAAAGTGGCTGTCGCATAAGCCTTTGGTGATATTTAAAATTCAGTGAAAATGAAGTTTGTCAGTTTTGACTACTTTAATAAGAAGTACCTATTACATTTCACATTAATTTATATCTCTCAGTATTTAAAAATTTAATTTGCAAAAAAAAAAAATTTTAACGAAATGTATTTGTTTATTCCAGAGACGCTAGCAATGAAGGGCTTAACGCTTAATTGCTTAGGCCGCAAAGAAGAAGCATATGAGTATGTCAGAAAAGGACTCAGGAATGATTTGAAAAGTCATGTGTGTATCCTTTTCTAAAAAAAGTATAAGTAATAAATAAATATATAAACGTAAATAACAGAAATTTGGGTTAATGGCATGACAGCTGAAGCTGATAATATCTCCAGTAATACACAAAAATTGACTTTTGCAAATCTTCTTTTCTGTATTTAAATGTACTTCATTTAGTATAAACACAGCAATATAAAACATAATGAAATTATCCAAGTGTTGGGATGGGTATATTCATTTTTCAGTGATTTCAATCATAAATTTAGGTATCGGTTGTAGAACAATGCCTATCTATAACTGGCAGCGAAAAGAAGAGGCAGATTACATGTTATGATGTTTATACCAGATTATGTGTAAGCAATATTAAGTGTGATAAAGCAAGACTGTTGCTGGTGTTAAAATAAAAATGAATTTGCTATGCTTTTCATTAGAGAGAAACAGTATCACCCTATTACTATTGATTTGAGAATATTTGATTATTATAGGTTAGAAGATTTTACGTTCACATTTACTATTATGTAAATGCATCTATCACTTATTTTATATAAGATCCTTATGAAGGTGTTAATTTTGAAATGGATTTGAAAGATTTGCCAAAAACATTGTATAATTTTTAGGACAGAAGGGGGAAATAACCAAATCAAAAGGAAGACTTTAAGGCTATTACAGATTAAAAGTATATATACATACATATACAGTGAACGTCTGTCTAAGAGAATTCACCAGTGGCCTAAGTCACTGAAGACTTATAATTTGATTCTGGGGGAATGGGCCGGCTGCGTATTATGTAGACAAGCCAGTTTCCCTTAGAAAGTCCTCCACGAATGCATTCCTTCCCATGGGCAGGTAGCCATCCTATGCTTTGCAGTAATCAAATAAACCAAACCTGTAAAGTCGGAATCGGGCAGATTTTAGGGTAAAAGGAGTCGCTAAAAACAGACTCAGACTCCAGTTTTTGGTGGACTGTTTGAATTTGAAATTAAATTAAAATGAATTGAAAAAAATTAATGACAAGCTGAGTTATTCTTTTCAAGATTGCGAGGTAGAACTCTGCCTTGAGCCTTGTTTAAGTTTATCATACTGTCATTTCTAATAGATGTTTTGTAAGTATTTTGCATATTTTCATTAGAATATACATTTTACCTTTGTATTTCATAAAATAAATCACAATATAACCAAGATCAGTTTTTCAGAATTTTGCTTTTATGCGATTATTCTTCAATTTCAATTTTCCATCAACCTTTATAATCTGATCCTATATTTAAAAAAAAAAAAAAAAAAAAAAAAAAAAAAAAATTGTACAAAATATTTTTGTGCATTTCAACTGTAAAATATATGAAGATTTCAAATCTATGTATATAATGAAAAATGTCTATTTGTGTGTTCGTGATTAACTCGGTCACTACTATACCTGTCATCACCAAATTTTCTACAATTCTTTTCTGGGTCCTGGTAAAGGTCTACATCCACTTAAAACAAAACAAAAAAAAAAAAAAAAGTATTAATTTAAAACACTGAAAACGCTAATTTTTGCCCTAATTTTTCTGAGTGGCAGCAGTGTCGCGCGCTGGAGATAAAAATATGCTTTATTTTGAAAAATGTTGCTACTGCTCACTTTCAAATCGTAGAGTTTGTTAACAAAATATTTCTAAACCTTACAAAATCTCTATATATAAAGAATGCCTTTTTATGTGTTTGTTTGCATTATTGGTTTCTGATCAATTTTTTGCCACATTTATACCGTCCAAAATTGAATATAGGTGAAATATTGGATAGAACTTGAGCTCTTACAACCATTTGATTAGAAAGACAAAAATTATTAAAAACTGCATGCCATTGTTGGTGATATAATGAGAAAGAATTAGTTTATTTTTCTATTGAAATTTTTTATGTGGGTTCCATATCGCATCAGACTGAAAAATGTATGACAATGAATCATATTTTTTGCATCGTTAATAGAGGATTACAGCGGTATTGTTCTCTCTGTTGTTAGATATATTGCTCTCAATCTAACGTAACTGGAATCTGGTACTTCCACTAGTATGTAATAAAAAATACACAATTTTTGAACCTATTTTGGTAAAAAAATTACACAGCAAGAGGGATAATGCTAATAATATATGATTACATAATTCCAGTATAATCAAAAAAATATTCACAAAAGCTTTGGTAGTATATTTATTTGGTAGTATTTACTTTTCTTTAAATATATATATAATCTAAGACACAATAACACGCCGAATAAATACTGATTCAGAAGTCAAACAACAAAAATCAGCGTTAATTCACAAAATTTTCACAGGACTAGTTTCGATGGTTCTACCGAACCACCATCCTCAGCTGCAAAACCGCAAATGAACAAGATAGGAAATAATGATTAGATATGATAAGAAAGCCTGGACAAGAATAAGCAAGTGGCGCCATCTGTTGATGAAACCAGAACTAAAACATAATTTCTCTAAAGGCCAAGGCAAATTTATTTGGATTGGAATTAGGATCATTAACTAGAACAGAAAGGTTTTTTTTTAATGTGAAATGCTTCTAGAAAATCCATTTTCTCGAATGGAAGATGTTTTTTGAATAATTTTGGCAGCAGAAAAATTGAAAGTGTGATTTTCGGACCAACAATGTTGAGCAACAGAAGACTTCTGTGTTTCCTTTTTCTAACATATGACTCATGTTCCTTGACGCGAAATTTTAAGGCTCTCTTAGTTTGGCCAATGTAAATTAAACCACACTGGCAAGGAATCCTATAAATACCCCAGGAATTCATATACAGAATGGGGTCTTGGAGTATGGAACTCGGAATTTTATTGATGGGAGAATAAACAACCCAAAGTTAAATTTCTGCAAAATATGTGCAACTTTATAGCTAATTGATGGAAAGAAGGGAATGACAACAGAATTTTTATAATCTCCTAAAACAAGAGTGTGGCCTTTTAGTGTGTTGAGATGAGAATTTTTTAACTGCTTGATTAATAATGTTGGGTGAAAAGCCCCTGTCAATAGCTATTGCTTTTAAATAATTTAGTTCTTTATCAAGGGCTAGTTTGGAGGAGCAAGCTTGAAGAGCACGGAAAACATAGGAATAAAATGAAGCTAACTTTTGTTTAGTCGGATGACATGATTTAAAGTGTGGTGGAAGGGAAAACCGATGAAGGTTTACGGTAAACCGTAGTACTGAAATTGGATGTGTTATGTGTGACCAGAATGTCGAGAAACAGAAGAGAATTGCAAGTCTCAGTTCAAAAGTGAATTGAATAGCAAGATCAATAGAATTCATTGTTGAAAGAACTTTATTTTAAATCATCTTTATTACCTTCAAACAGGGTAAAAGTATCGTCTACGTAATGGAACCATGCCGGGAAGTTTAAAGTTTCAAACAATTTTGATTCCTAATAATGCATGTAGATATCAGCCAGGATGGGAGTGAGGGGGGACTTTCCATGGCTAATCCCTCAGTTTGCTTGTAATATTTATTTTGGAAAACAAAATGTGTTTGTTTCAAACAGAGTTGAGTGAGAGAAAAATTAGCTCATCAATTTCGATGCAAGACAAATGAAATTCACGAAATCTGGTTTCTAGACATCTTAATGCACCTTCCACTGGGAACATTGGTGAATAATGATTTTACATCAAAAGAAAACCATGAGTAAATTTCTAGGAGAAATGTTTTAACCTTTTTTACAAACTCTATTGAATTTTTTATGTGTGTAAATGTTATTGTCTAATAGAGTGGAAAATCTAGAAACTAAATATTTAGCTAATGGATATGAGGCAGTACCTGAGTTTGATACAATAGGGCGGAAAGGAATACCACTTTTATGAATTTTGGGAAGAGCATATAATCTGGCAAAATTCGCAACAGATGAGATAAGCGAATGTTTTAAGTTGCTTGAAATGATTCGTGAAATTTGATTGCAGTTTTCATTTTGGACAGGTCCGAAGGTGAAGGATCTTTAGGGATCGGATTATATGGTCCTTCGTTTAAGAGTTTAGTGACACCATCAATGTAAGTGTTCTTATCCATGACGACTATCTGGCCACCTTTGCATGCCTCTGAAATGATAATATACGGGTTAGAATGAATTTCGCGCATTGTAGCTCTTTCTCTCACAGTTAGATTTGGTTTCAAAGGTTTATTATTGAATTTCACATTATGAGCGATAAGATGCCTAATCATTTCTTTCTGTGAATCTGAAACTTTGAACTTGAAAGCTTTTTTCGATAGGAGCCAAAATCTTTGGAATCGAGAGTTTACAGGTTTGTGAGAAGTTAAAATTATATTTTAGAATTCTCTCTTGTTCTTCTGAAAGACTAACATTAGAAATATTAACTATTGGCTTGATGTTTACAATGGGAAGATTTTTTTGAACTACTTGAACTGGAAGACTGTAAAAAAAGTTTTTCGAATTTAACTGCAAGGGTGTTTTTATGACGGTTAACTGCATTTCTCCGTTCTAGACCAAGACTTTTGTTCAAGGGCAGTGAATTTTGGATGTGAATTAGGGAGTTCCAGATGAAGCTTATAGATTTCAATGTTCAATTGTTGACGTGTATCCCTTATGATGGACCGAAGTAAGGCAAGCTTGAATTTAACAGAATTCTTGAAACGCGACTCGAAGGTTTTTGATTAGATTTGATTTGAATAAAATTGGGGATCAATTTTTTACATTTACATTTAAGTAAAAAAGTCAAGATGATTCAGGAATTTTTGCTGTTCAGGCGTAATTTAGTGAAACGATTAATGGATGAAGGCATGATAAACAATGCAGAAAATCAAACTAAATAACTGAGCATAAAAAGTGCACACAAAACAGCAGAAAAAACCCCACTGAAATGAATAGAAAACAAAATGTTTGTAACCAAAATGCATGAAATCAGACAAGCAAAGCACAATATCCAAATGTACAAACATAAACATAACTTGAAAATTGCAAAAAATGTACTCACCGAAACTCCTACAATCACAAAATGGCGGCCACACCACGTGCAAAAAAGAAAGCAAAATGTAAGCCTGTTTGGGGCTTCTATAATTAAGACACAATAACACGCCGAATAAATACTGATTCAGAAGTCAAACAACAAAAATCAGCGTTAATTCACAAAAATTTTCACAGGACTAGTTCGATGGTTTACCGAACCATCATCTTCAGCTGCAAAACCGCAAATGAACAAGATAGGAAATAATGTTTAGATAAGATAAGAAAGCCTGGACAAGAATAAGCAAGTGGCGCCATCTGTTGGCGAAACCAGAACTAAAACATAATTTCTCTAAAAGCCGAAGGCAAATTTATTTGGATTGGAATTAGGATCGTTAACTAGAACAGAAAGATTTTTATGAATGTGAAATGCCTCTAGAAAATCCAGTTCTCCAATGGAAGATGTTTTTTGAATAATTTTGGCAGCAGAAAAATTGAAAGTGTGATTTTCGGACCAACAATGTTGAGCAACAGAAGACTTCTGTGTTTCCTTTTTTCTAACATATGCCTCATGTTCTTTGACGCGAAATTTTAAGGCTCTCTTAGTTTGGCCAATGTAAATTAAACCGCACTGGCAAGGAATCCTATAAATACCCCAGGAATTCATATCCGGAATGGGGTCCTTCAGTATAGAAGTTGGAATTTTATTGATGGGAGAGTAAACAACCCGAAAGTTAAATTTCTGCAAAATATGTGCAACTTTATAGCTAATTGATGGAAAGAAGGGAATGACACAGAATTTTTATAATCTCCTAAAACAAGAGTGTGGCTTTTAGTGTGTTGAGATGAGAATTTTTTAACTGCTTGATTAATAATGTTGGGTGAAAAGCCCCTGTCAATAGCTATTGCTTTTAAATAATTAGTTCTTCATCAAGGGCTAGTTTGGAGGAGCAAACTTGAAGAGCACGGAAAACATAGGAATAAAATGAAGCTAACTTTTGTTTAGTCGGATGACATGATTTAAAGTGTGGTGGAAGGCAAACCGATGAAGGTTTACGGTAAACTGTAGTACTGAAGTTGGATGTGTTACGTGTGACCAGAATGTCGAGAAACGGAAGAGAATTGCAAGTCTCAAGTTCAAAAGTGAACTGAATAGCAGGATCAATAGAATTCATTGTTGAAAGAACTCTATTTAAATCATCATTATTACCTTCAAACAGGGTAAAAAAAAGTATCGTCTACGTAGCGGAACCATGCCGGAAGTTTAAAGTTTCAAACAATTTTGATTCATAATAATGCATGTAGATATCAGCCAGGATGGGGACTGAGGGGGCTTCCCATGGCTAATCCCTCAGTTTGCTTGTAATATTTATTTTGGAAAACAAAATGTGTTTGTTTCAAACAGAGTTGAGTGAGAGAAATTAGCTCATCAATTTCGATGCAAGAGAAATGAAATTCGCGAAGTCTGGTTCTAGACATCTTAAATGCACCCTCCACTGGGACATTGGTGAATAATGATTTTACATCAAAAGAAACCATGAGTAAATTACGAGGAGAAATGTTTTTAACCTTTTTTACAAACTCTATTGAATTTTTTATGGTGTAAATGTTATTGTCTAATAGAGTGGAAAATCTAGAAACTAAATATTTAGCTAATGGATACGAGGCAGTACCTAAATTTGATACAATAGGGCGGAAAGGAATACCACTTTTATGAATTTTGGGAAGAGCATATAATCTGGCACAATTCTAGAACGGAGAATGCAGTTAACCATCATAAAAACACCCTTGCAGTTAAATTCGAAAAACTTCTTTTACAGTCTTCCAGTTCAAGTAGTTCAAAAAATCTTCCCATTGTAAACATCAAGCCAATAGTTAATATTTCTAATGTTAGTCTTCAGAAGAACAAGAGAGAATTCTAAAATATAATTTTAACTTCTCACAAACCTGTAAACCCTCGATTCCAAAGATTTTGGCTCCTATCGAAAAAGCTTTCAAGTTCAGTCAAGTTTCAGATTCACAGAAAGAAATGATTAGGCATCTTATCGCTCATAATGTGAAATTCAATAATAAACCTTTGAAACCAAATCTAACTGCGAGAGAAAGAGCTACAATGCGCGAGGATTCATTCTAACCCGGATATTGTCATTTCAAAGGCCGACAAAGGTGGCCAGATAGTCGTCATGGATAAGAACACTTACATCGATGGTGTCACTAAACTCTTAAACGAAGGACCATATAATCCGATCCCTAAAGATCCTTCACCTTCGGACTTATCCAAAATAAAAAAACTGCGATCAAATCTTCGCAAATCATTTCAAGCAACTTAAAACATTCGCTTATCCCATCTGTTGCGAATTGTGCCAGATTATATGCTCTCCCAAAATTCATAAAAGTGGTATTCCTTTCCGCCCTATTGTATCAAATTTAGGTACTGCCTCGTATCCATTAGCTAAATATTTAGTTTCTAGATTTCCACTCTATTAGACAATAACATTTACACCATAAAAAATTCAATAGAGTTTGTAAAAAAGGTTAAAAACATTTCTCCTCGTAATTTACTCATGGTTTCTTTGATGTAAAAATCATTATTCACCAATGTCCCAGTGGAGGGTGCATTAAGATGTCTAGAAACCAGACTTCGCGAATTTCATTTCTCTTGCATCGAAATTGATGAGCTAATTTCTCTCACTCAACTCTGTTTGAAACAAACACATTTTGTTTCCAAAATAAATATTACAAGCAAACTGAGGGATTAGCCATGGGAAGCCCCCTCAGTCCCATCCTGGCTGATATCTACATGCATTATTATGAATCAAAATTGTTTGAAACTTTAAACTTCCCGGCATGGTTCCGCTACGTAGACGATACTTTTACCCTGTTTGAAGGTAATAAAGATGATTTAAATAGAGTTCTTTCAACAATGAATTCTATTGATCCTGCTATTCAGTTCACTTTTGAACTTGAGACTTGCAATTCTCTTCCGTTTCTCGACATTCTGGTCACACGTAACACATCCAACTTCAGTACTACAGTTTACCGTAAAAACCTTCATCGGTTTGCCTTCCACCACACTTTAAATCATGTCATCCGACTAAACAAAAGTTAGCTTCATTTTATTCCTATGTTTTCCGTGCTCTTCAAGTTTGCTCCTCCAAACTAGCCCTTGATGAAGAACTAAATTATTTAAAAGCAATAGCTATTGACAGGGGCTTTTCACCCAACATTATTAATCAAGCAGTTAAAAAATTCTCATCTCAACACACTAAAAGCCACACTCTTATTTTAGGAGATTATAAAAATTCTGTTTGTCATTCCCTTCTTTCCATCAATTAGCTATAAAGTTGCACATATTTTGCAGAAATTTAACTTTCGGGTTGTTTACTCTCCCATCAATAAAATTCCAACTTCTATACTGAAGGACCCCATTCCGGATATGAATTCCTGGGGTATTTATAGGATTCCTTGCCAGTGTGGTTTAATTTACATTGGCCAAACTAAGAGAGCCTTAAAATTTCGCGTCAAAGAACATGAGGCATATGTTAGAAAAAAGGAAACACAGAAGTCTTCTGTTGCTCAACATTGTTGGTCCGAAAATCACACTTTCAATTTTTCTGCTGCCAAAATTATTCAGAAAACATCTTCCATTGGAGAACTGGATTTTCTAGAGGCATTTCACATTCATAAAAATCTTTCTGTTCTAGTTAACGATCCTAATTCCAATCCAAATTTGCCTTCGGCTTTTAGAGAAATTATGTTTTAGTTCTGGTTTCGCCAACAGATGGCGCCACTTGCTTATTCTTGTCCAGGCTTTCTTATCTTATCTAAACATTATTTCCTATCTTGTTCATTTGCGGTTTTGCAGCTGAAGATGATGGTTCGGTAAAACCATCGAAACTAGTCCTGTGAAAATTTTGTGAATTAACGCTGATTTTTGTTGTTTGACTTCTGAATCACATATATAATCTGTTTATGTAGTTTTATGTGTTATAATATGTTTTAATGTTCTTTGAGCCTTAATCAGTTTGTAAGGTTGGCATGTTTTTGGATTATTACAAAGATCTGACAGAAAATATGATGAAGCAATCAAATGCTATCGTAATGCATTAAAATGGGACAAGGTAAGATTGCTATTTTATATATTCTAATTTTAATGCCTTGAACTTTGTAAATGCAGTTCTTGCATTTATTAAGAGGTGTAATTTTTAATTGAACTAAGTGTCAAAGTTTGTTAACTTTTTTTTGTAGATCAAGTTTTCAAGTAAGGGAATATATTTCTCTGGTTCCTTCAGTTATAACTTGTAGAATGTTGATCGTAATAGTTTTCTAACAAGTTTATTTGTTAGTACAATCAAATACCGAAAATCCGCTGACCTGAAATCTGCCAACTCCTAAAATTCGCATTGCCTCTCAAAATATAAACATTCAGTTTATAAGTTCAGGAAACCACAACATTGAGTACAAAATATCGAATGCGAACTTACTAATAAAATGAATGCGAACGAATGCGAAATGAATGCGAACTTACTAATAAAATTACAAATTTTGGAAATACTTTTCAAATACTCTATCACTTACATAGAGAAAAAATTAATAATTTTATATTTAGAATAAATTAAGTTTAATATTTTCACTGAAAATAATGAAAACAGCAAGAGATGCATAACTCCCCCCAGGTGTACAAAAGAGTTATTATTTAAACGATAGGTGTCTATTACATAACTGAGGTATAATACCAAATCTATTAAAAGTTAAATATTTGATAAATTTTTGTACCTCATTTGTTCCAAAGATTTACGTCAAGAAATCATACCAAATCTAAAATAGCATGAGAGTTATTCTTTTAGCTTGATTCTTATGTATTATCAAAGAACACTCAGTCAGTGCAGTCTGTGGACAGGAAGCTGTACTTGCAACTAGAGAGAAAAATGCAATACTGAAATAAAAATTTCAGTTAAAAAATATACAACAAATCAAATACTAATTCAATAAATAAATGCATGAATTTAGTTCCAGTAAATTTTGCCCTTCCATGCAGTTTGATAGAGAATGTGATTATCAATGATATATTAAAACTTCGAAGAGGAGTTGTTTTCTCTTTTATATTTAATGCAAATTCTTATCAATTTAATCTTTATTCATTATTTTACCTACCAAGTAATTAGTTATTTGTTTTTATTTGATTGCAAATTATTGTCATTTTAATATTCAAGACCAAAAACATGAAAGCAGGGTATTTGCAATTAAATTGACAAAATATTTGCAGACGTAGCATTATAACAAAATTGTTGCATTTGTTACTTGTTTCTAATAGACGACCAAAATGCAATTTTACAAATTTGTTAATAATGCATTCTCGCATCTGAAATCTTAAAGAGACTTTTTATTTTCAGTAGTAGAAAGTCGTGATATTAAACATGTATTGTTTCTTGTGGGCATATTTTTATGTGGTTTTCTTGAATTGTTCCTGTAGCAATAAATCAGATAATTGCACAGACTTGTCTTTGTCCAGAAATATGATTGCCCGAGAGCAGTTGAAGTTTCAACATATACTCAATATTCAACATACACTAATTGTGTAATAATGTGATGAAATGTTTAAGTGTAATGAAAATTAAAACAAATGAAACTCTGCATATCCAATAGGATTCTTTGTGACCCAAACAGATGTACTCCGTGGGGGGAGACAGAAAAATTACTATTTACCTTGTAATTTTATTTTTTTGCTCTCTTCAGACATTTCATATTATATTATACAAAATTAGTAGCACTGCTCCCTTCCAAAGGATTACCATCTTCTGGACAGTGCAGTTTGTGGACAGGAAGCTGTACTTGCAACTAGAGAGAAAAATGCAATACTGAAATAAAAATTTCAGTTAAAAAATATACAACAAATCAAATACTAATTCAATAAATAAATGCATGAATTTACAAATTTACACATAAGATCATGGTCATAGTGTGCTTTATACATTACATACACTATGAGGGTCTATGTATTATTTCCATAATAAAGAGTTAGCCTGCCGTAATGAATGACTTTAGGCTTTGAATTTGATGACTAATGGAACTGAACTACGATGTTGTTCAGCCTGTTTAGGACTGTGTAAGAACCATCAAAGAATGGCTGTAATTTAGAAGAAAGTTCTTTCCATTGAAGTGGATTCCTTAACCACACTTTTTCATCTTTGTTGGATAAATGTCAAGTAGCTGTTGTGTCGTATTGTGTCTTCATCTTCTCCATCACCAAACTGACTCTCAAGCAACACTGTGCATCACTTCAAACTTTGTCTGGAGATCTTGAGTGTACTCCTCAGATGATGAAGGTTCATCTAAAGGGCGACAAAACAAAGTCACAAAACAGATAAAGATTATGACCAAAGAATATTTGGGAGGGGAACAGCTGTTAGTTATATGGATGGTACTGTGACAGGCCAGTAACAACAGAGGTAGCTCCTGTTCCCACTCCTGTTGGTTTCTGGAAACCATCAGCGAGAGGTTATTAAGGAGGGTTCGATTAAATGTTTCTACCAAGTCGTTTGCCTGCTGATGTAAAGGTGTCTTTTTGAAGGCTCAATAACATCGCTTTCTTGTATATCCTTTAGAAGTATTCATACTTTTTCCTGCTAAGCAAATGGTAAACATCTTGAATGCTGCTCGATTGATGGATGACTCCCCATATCAGTTCTGTGCAAGGCTACTAGTACTTCTTTCAGGCTGTTCCAGTTCTTGGAATATTCTATTATGCTGTATTGAAAATTTTTGTTTTCGGCTATAGATCCAGGAAGTAAAAATTATGTTCTTGCTGGTACTGGGATATCATCTTGAGCTATGATTTGGTGCATGGATTTAAGTGCTTTAATTCCAAACAGTGTTATATTTTTCAAGGCAGAATGCAGTTAATTATTTTTTTAAGACAAAGGGAAAATATTGTTTCCATTGTAAGTCTAATCAGAGTATGCATGGTGGGATACTAGCAGCACTTCCAAATGTGATGTTTACATTTAACTTTCCATTGTTGTCAGTCTTATCACCTGACACCAGTCTGGAGAGTAATACAAGGTATCATCCAGATGTGTTCCTGTCCAATTGTTGAGCGAAATCTCTTCAGATGGTGGTAACATTGGCTCCTGTATTCAGGGTCATATTGTAAGACACTTCATTTATTATGTCTGATGATAAAAAGTCTGCTACTGCTACCACTCATTGAGGAAACCTGAAGTGCTTTAAAATTGAGCTTTTCAATATCTGGCAACCTCCACTCCATGAGATTGCCACTAATTTGTTTAATGCCTCCTTGTTCAGGAGCGGTTTTAGCTTCCGTGCCTTGGGGTGTTCTGCAGTTCCTTCGCATGTTTACTTCGTACCAAAACAGTGCTCCAACATGCTGTATAGATCTTCAAAGTCTAACCTATGGGTTTTCGGCAGAATCTGATGAATATCCGTTGTGTCTGCTTTTAGAGAAGCGGTGAGGTGATAGGCCATAGTTTCAGAATTCTAACCATTTGTGTTTCTCACTATAGAGAACTGAGTCTTGTTTTCTTGGCAGGAGGTTTTCCCCATCATACGTGGATAGCTTTAGAGAGTGTACGAATTTAAAGGCATTGGAATTGTGTTCAGCTGTCACTATGGACATCTTCACCATGTCAAATCACTTAGCGAAAGCAGCAAAAACCTTTTCGTTGATTTATTGCTTGACATAAAAAACTCTTTCTTCAATTTCTGAGACTTTATTTTCAACCATGTATATTTTACCTTCCACAGCCTTTATGAAAGAAAAGAAAGACTTTATGGTTCTGGAACTTTCCACAGAAATACTTGTACAACTCTGCTCATTATGACAAAGCACAGCCATTAGTTACCATTTCAAACTACTAAAAGCATTAAATGCAACACAATGCAAAATGCATCTGAAGAGTGGAGCTAACACAGAGGTATCCCAATACTCCGAATTCATACTGAACTAAACAACTGAAAAACTGATACAGGGACTGGACCAAAATATTGCTGAATGGTTGCCAAGCTTGGTGAGTTTTGGTGATTTATCACGAAATTTGGTGACAAAAGTAAGTTGCCAAAACCTTTGCCAGTTTAGCAATATCTCGCCAATTTAGCAATATAGCCATTTGCTTCAATGTTAAATGGACTCGCCCCTGTAATCTTATTTTTCCATCAGAGTTTCCATCTCTTTAGACTTTTCAAGTTACATTATACAAAATTTATAACAAGATAAAAACTCTATAGTGCTGAACAGATGTTTCCAAAATCTTAGTCTTTTCTTGTGTCAAACAAAAGTATAGTAAAGTAAAGTAGTTATAATCATTATATCTTTCAGAATATAGAGCTCTTTTGATTTAGGGTCAAATTATGTGAAGCATTTTAATTGATATAAAGAATTATTTTTAAGTGAAGCTGTTTTTAAGTGAAGTACAAAGGAAGCTTTGGAATAATGCAGAACTGAAGCCACAAAAAGAGGAAGTTTGGATGATCTTCATGTCATTTCTTGGCTATGAATAAAATTTTGATTTATATCATGAAAGGAAAGTTAATCTTCTAGATTAGTGAATGTTTTGGGCTATTATGTAATAATGCATTTAATAAAATCATTGACTCAAAATTATCACAAATTACATTTTGATAGATTATTTTTGTGATGATATGTTTAATTTATCGAATGAAGTCATTTAAATTTGTGACATGGTAATGTTGAATAAACTTTTTTACCTGAAACCATTTAAAAAATAAAATTTATCGAATGAAGTCATTTAAATTTGTGACATGGTAATGTTGAATAAACTTTTTTACCTGAAACCATTTAAAAAAATTAATTGAAAACTGAGAACTCAGATATATTAGTGCAAAGAGTGGCCAAATTTATTATGTAGTGCTTCTAATCTTAAAAAGGAAATATGCTATGTGAATAGTATCAGAAACATGAGTGCGTGTTAACGTTTTCAAAATATAATAAATGTATGGGAAATGTAGCTCTGGCTGACCAATAAAGGTGATACTTAGAGATGAGTCTTGCTCGAAAATCTGTTAAATGGTGGTATTACATGTTTTGGTTTTTATTAGTTACTGTAAATAATTTTTATTTTAATGTCAACTACTCATTTTCTATTTCCTAAATAATCACTAAAATTATTAGGTTTCAAGTTATTATAGATTGAAGAATTAGTAAAAGTATTTTAAGTCAAAAGAGGAAAGTAGTAGGGTTGTTCTGTGTTACATCAACACAAAAGAAGAAAAATTCAAAAAGTTATTTACTTCATAAACTTAACTTTCATTTCAGATCAGCATTATGAATGATAACAAATTCCCTAACTTATACAGTTATTTCTTTTTAAATCGGCTTTTGCTTTCCTCAACATAAGATAAAAATGTTAAATTCAACAAGGGGGGAGAATGAATGGTATTATTAAATAACATTATTGACAACATGAATTTTATGTAAGTGTGAGTCATTCACTGAGGAATTTTTAAGTACTGCTAAAGAGAAAATTTAAAATTGTGTTAAATAAAATGCTGAGATCCTTAATATGAAGCTATTTTTGTTGTGTTTGATTTAGTATAACTTTTATAAGTAACTTAACTTTTTCGAAGATGAAGTGAGCTTATAGTAATTCATGCGGTTTTTTGCTGGTGGCCTGATGTCTAATTAAATTTTATTGTACAGTGGATCTTTCATCTAATTTACCTGCTAATGAGTAGGGGAAATTTTTACAGTTGGCTGAAACTAGTTTATTTATCTAATTAGATAACATTTTCATTTAGTAAAATTTGTTGTAATTATAGTGTGTGTTGATAAGCAAGCTAATGTATTTGCCTCTTTAGGACAATATTCAAATACTGAGGGACTTATCTCTTCTTCAGATACAGATGAGAGATTTGGAAGGTTACAGAGTGAGTGCATTATAATTATTATATTTAATAAAAATAATTATTTAATAACTTAGAAAAATTTGGATTTAGAATGCATATGTATTATGTGTATTGAAAACGAAGTTCTTATTGTGCAAAATTGTAACAATTCTGATATTAGCATAAAATTCATGTTCGCTTTTGCATTTTATACTCCTTGCAGGATACGCGATATCAGCTGTTTATTTTAAGGCCTACCCAAAGAGCTTCATGGATTGGTTTTGCAATGGCTTATCATTTGCTAAAAGACTATGATATGGCTTTGAAAATTCTAGAAGAATTTCGTAAAACCCAAACCGTAAGTTTTAATTATTCTTATTCCTATGTATTTAAGTGTTCTGGAAAAAGAGTGTGTGTTTTAATTGTTGTTTTATTTTTAAATTTGGGAAAGATTGAATGAATATGCTTCTTATATACTCAAATTTATTATAGTCTGATCTGGGTAACATGCTATTTTGTTAGGATCCTAAAATATCACAATTACTTATTCATATAATTTATTCTAGTTTTCTTATTATTATTCACTGTTTAAAGAGAAATCAACTTACTCATTTTAAACGTGTGCTTTTATTATTTTGCTAACAAAATATCCATTCTTCTGTTGAGGGGGGGATTTATTTCTGAAAATGTGCGAAATCCACAAAAGTATGTGTGGGGAGAAGTAAAAGATTAGAAATAAATATACAGCATCTGTTTTCAAGGAAGTGGGTTTTTCAAATACGACGATTCCATCTTCTGTGTGGAATATAACGGCAAAGTGGTTAACATATGATATATATATTAACCACAATTATACAACTTTTAGGTAAAGATCCATTCCTATAAAACGTCTCAAAAGAAAGTTCCTTACTGATTTTCCATTGGCTTAATATAACTTTCCATTTAATAAAATGAACTATTGGATCAGCCAGAGTCGTGATATAACTATCCTGTTGAATATTTGAACAAGTAAACAATGACCCGATTTTAGTAGTTTTCTGTGAAACCGAGCCTTCTAGTAGTTGAATTCACAAGCCCTCAGAACCCTGGGATCTTGGCCTGGATTCAAAATAATGTCATTAGATGTGGCTGCATAGACAATTTTTTTTTGTGTAGATGTGTATTCTTTTCATGAAGGATGAAAAATGAACTTTTCCTAGCAGATACTTCGTATTGCACAGCTTTAAAATTTAAACAATGAAAGCATAGCTGCTTGTTTCTGCTTAACTGTTGAAAGGTATTCCTCTTTTCATAAAAGGCACTTGACATCAGAATCACAAAGTTGACTACATATTAGAAGCAATAGCATATGAGCATACATACAACAGCATACCAGGAGATTTCAGTGATACTGAACAAAAGTCATGCCACCTTTGTACATTTTCCACATCACAGAGCCATTATTTTTGTGCAAAGAATAAAGAAGTTTCGCAACCTACAATTCTAATGTTTCACAATTTATGCATTTTGTTAATGGTGAAAAGAAATATAATTAAATTCAAAATTTATTGTTTCTTTTAGATGATGAAATAAAGCTGTCTGTTTGCCTCCTGTTAAGTAATTTAAACTACCTTGGCTTTAAATTTAAAAATGTCTTTTCATTAGAAATTGCTATACATATGAACACGATATTAGTCTTTAAATTCAGGTCTATTTTCTTAAAAAAAAAAAGTCATCTGTACTAATTGGAGTTTTATTCTTTAAATTTTTATTATGACTTAAAGAAGTGCAAGTTCAGTTTCTTGAAATATTAAGAAATTTTTAAAAATGGAATGTGCAAAATATATATTAATTAAAGTAGTATACTTCGTAAAAGATTATCACATTTTTTAAAGATACTAAGTAGTATTCTAATACAAGATTCTCTCTCTAATACAAGAGATTAAATAAAAAAATGTTGTTTTGGCTAAAATATTGTTACGAATTTGGTATTTAAAAAGCTAATGTTAGTTCAATTAGAAATTAAATGGTTTTATTTCTCGCGCAGTGCAGCGCGTGACGAATATTAAAAGAAAGCTAAGCCGGAAAATTGAAAATACAAGAGCGCGTGCATTAAATAAATAAATATCTCTTTTTGATTTCGAGAAAGTACTGGAAAATTCTAGCGCGTGATTTTAAAATCTTATAAAAGGAGGAAAAACATCTCAGTTTGTAGTAGTTGCTTAGTTTGTTGTTGTTTAGAAAACTACTGTTGTTGATTGTAGCGAATTCGCGGATTAGCGTTCTTTAGCTGTTTTGAATTACGTTCTATTGGACATTTGAGTAGTTAAAAGATAACTACTGTGAGATATTGTAATACTGCATGATAATTTGAGAAAATTTAAGCATTTTTGTTGTGATAATAATAAATTTTTGTTCATTTTTCATCGGACTTGTGCATTCATTTCATAACGAACCCGTACGCACGCAACAATTTTTGGTGTCAGAAGTGGAATTTGAATGCCAATAACAAGAGCGATGGAAGAGCAAAGGCAATTGAGGCAGCTCATTTGCTTTGCTGCATTCCAAGAAAAGATGGAAGCTGGCCAAGATCATTAAAGGAAGAGATGAAAATTGGGCCAGGAATCGTTAAGGACGAAATGAAAGCCGTTCAAGCTGGTCAAGAAGAAATGAAAAGAGAAATTACTTGCATAATAGAAAATAAATTTGAAGCTATGGAAGGCAGAATTGACGCAGTTGAAAATAAAGTTGGACATATTGAAGAAAGAGTTTCTTCGGTGAAAGAAGAAATAGAAGAAAAAGAGTTTCTTCGTAAAAAAGAACAAATTGATGAGAGAGTTTCTGCAGTTGCCAAAGAAATGGATACTTTAAAGAAATTCGTAGCGTCGGCAGGGAGCAGGAGTGATGATTTTAAATTCTTACCAATGCCTGCTCGTCCACCTCTGAAGCTATCCACATATGATGGGAAGACTCCTGGCAGGTGTATAAGACACAATTTTCTATCGTGGCGGATGCGAATGGATGGGATTCCCAAGCTAAGGCCTGTCATCTCGCCGCTTCTCTAAGAGCCGACGCAGCGGATATCCTTCAGACTCTTCCCGAAAACAAAAGGTTAGATTTCGAAGCTCTGTCCGGCGCCTTGGAGCTGCGCTTTGGGGAGAAGTGTTTAAAAGACTACAGCAGGCTCCAATTAAAATCTCGTCAACAGAAGCCTACCGAAACACTTCAGGAGCTCGCCGCGGATGTTGAAAGGCTGTCCATCTCGCCTTTTCGGAGTGCCCGACAGAAACAAGGGAAATCCTGTCCTGCAATACTTCATCGATAGCATCCGGATACTGAAATACAGAAAGCTCTACGAATGGCGGATGTGAAGGACAGATTTAAAAGGCGCTCTGTTGTACGCTGTGAAGTTCGAGGCAGCCGTCAGCAAGCAACTTGTAGAGATCGCTACCCAGTCAGAGCTGTGAGAGTCCACGAGCCAGTGGATCAATTGATAGGCTCGTTTAGATGATTTATCCAGACAAATCGACACTTTGATATGGAGTAGGAGTGAGAACAAAGTGACTCTAAGGTGTTGGAGATGTGGTAGTGAAGATCACCTAAGACGGAATTGCAGAACACCCCAGGAATAATAATAAAACAGAATGCAGAAAATAAAATAAAACTGAAACAGAAAATAAAACAGATGATTTTACCAGACAAGTCAGTGGCTTGAGACGGAACAGAAGGTGAAAAGAAAACCTAATTCTAAAGTGCTGGAATTGGAACTGTGGAGTTGAAGGCCAACGAAGACGAAGAAAACTGCAGAACACCCCGAGGACGGAAAATAAGACCATTTCCCAGCAAACGCAGTAAACAAATTATGTGCCATATCGAGGAACGGAGGTTGCCAGATAGTGAAAAACCTTGTTTTAAAGCTCTTAAAAATTTATACAGTGAGTGGCAACAATAACGGACTGTCCATCAATGGGAATATCGATGGAGTTCCTTGCAGAATGATCATTGACACAGGAGCTAATGTTACCATCATTAGGAAAGATTTAGCTGAACAGTTTAAAGATAAACTTATTTGGACGCCATCCTGTGTTACCCTTCAGACTGCGTCTGGTGACAAGATCGACATAACTGGGAAGTTAAACGTAAACATCACGTTTGGAAGTGCCGCCTACCATCACACGGGCATATGTGGCGGATATTACAGATCCATGCATACTCGGATTGGACTTTTTAAGGAAATACAATTTTTCCTTAGATTTGAAAAACAACAAACTGCTTTCAGGATCTGAAGACATGACTATCCATCCTAAGAAGGGATCCTCACCTGGAAATGCCGACGCTTGTCCGAAAGAACCAGCTCGAGAAACAGCCGAAATCATGCTAGGGTCGAAAAGAAAACACCAGACTACCAGCTATTCTCCATCTCAGATGCTCTTCGGTCGAGACCTTCGTCTGCCTTGTGACCGCCTGTTTCATCGCCGTACGGATGCGCCTTCATCGCCTGAGGAACACATCCAAGATGTCAAGGCCCGTTTTGAAGTGATGCACCGTTCCGCACGAAAGCGAGTGAACTTGGCGACGGAGAAAGTGAAGACCAGATACAACACGAGAGCTGCTGGACATAGATCCAACAAAGGAGACAAGGTGTGGTTGTGGAACCCGATTCGACCGAAAAGGAGTCAGGCCTGAATTACAGTCACCTTGGGATGGTTCGCACACAATCCTAAACACTCGAATGACGTCGTGGTTCGGATCTTCGTAAGTCTTCGAACTCTAAACCTAAAGTCGTTCATTACGACAGGTTAGTCTCATTACTATGGCCATAGTACATAATGTAAATAATTGTAAATAGTATAAGACCATGGTCCATTTTTGTTTTTAAATGTGTATTTGATTTGGATTTGTATTTGATAGCATTTGATTTGTTTTTATGTATTGCATTTATTGTTCATGTTGTTTTATTATTGTAATGTAATGCTTATTAATGCTTTATGCCACAGTTGTAAGTTTTGCTTCCTGTCCAGGGATTGTACTGCCCGGGACGTGCAGTCCTTGGGAAGGGGCAGTGTTACGAATTTGGTATTTAAAAAGCTAATGTTAGTTCAATTATAAATTAAATGGTTTTATTTCTCGCGCAGTGCAGCGCGTGACGAATATTAAAAGAAAGCTAAGCCGGAAAATTGAAAATACAAGAGCGCGTGCATTAAATAAATAAATATCTCTTTTTGATTTTGAGAAAGTACTGGAAAAATTCTAGCGCGTGATTTTAAAATCTTATAAAAGGAGGAAAACATCTCAGTTTGTAGTAGTTGCTTAGTTTGTTGTTGTTTAGAAAACTGCTCTTGTTGATTGTAGCGAATTCGCGGATTAGCGTTCTTTAGCTGTTTTGAATTACGTTCTATTGGATATTTGAGTAGTTAAAAGATAACTACTGTGAGATATTGTAATACTGCATGATAATTTGAGAAAATTTAAGCATTTTTGTTGTGATAATAATAAATTTTTGTTCATTTTTCATCGGACTTGTGCATTCATTTCATAACGAACCCATACGCACGCAACAATATTAACTTCTTGCAAAATCTTTTCTAGTACATGTGATGATTTTCTACTCAGGGATAAGGTCTTTTTACTGCCTAGACTCACAAATTCTGGGCTTAGAGCCTAGATTTTGTTAATTAAGCCTTGCAGACCTAACATATAATAATGTGATAAAGAAATGAAAAATATTAGTTTTTATCTATAAAAAATGGGCTAATACAAATTTTGTTAAGAGTCATCTAATGATTAGAAGAATTGTTCCAGATTGGTGATAAAATTACTTAAATTAAAATGAAACTGTATTTGATAGGCTAAATAAGTTAAAATAATATTGCAATACTTTAGATAAAATTACTGTTTTATGAAAAAAACTATGCATTTCAAATTAAAAATAATACAGATACATCTTCTTTATTGGCCCACCAGTGGCCGAGCGGTAAAGTCGCTGAACACTGGTAGTTCGGTCCGAGGTTCGAATCACGCGAACGGTCTGGTTGCATGGGCGTTTTCATGGTTTTCCCCATGTGTAACGTGTATACGAGCCAGTTTCCCTTAGAAAGTCCTCCACGAAGGCATTCCTTCCCTTAGGCAGATAGCCTTCAAGGCTTTGCCATAACACGCGCACACACATCTTCTTTATTATGTGTCGTCTACCAATGGTATTTGCCAGCAGTATATATTAAAAACAATGAAATAAAATTAAAAAAATATTAAAAAAGCAAGCTGTCATATTTCTTTTCTTATTAGTGCTCTATTTTATTTATTTATTCAGTGCTAATTCTTTCAAGTTGAAATTTGTAAATCAGTGCGTTGTATTTTTGAAACATGTTATAGTCTTAAGTTTTTTAAACATTTTATTTAATAAAATAGAGAAATTTTAACTCAACTCTGCCTTGCAGTTTACAATTACATTGTGTTGGACAAAGTAATGAGCATTATTTGTAACAAAAGTAAACCAAAAAATCAAGTTCATTAAAAATATTTTCTAGTGAAAATCACATTCAAATTAAAGCACATTAAAAGTACTGTTAAATTTTAAGTGCATTGCAGCAGAACTTCAGCAAAACAGTGTAAGCGATGTGTATTGTTCTGAAAAGAATGAAAAATTGGCCATTTTGATATTTATCATTAAAGCAGTTTTTGTTTACTATGCCTAAGTGTATGTTTATTATAACTTATTAAAATGGACTATTAATGACTAATTTTTATCTGGCACATTTTTATCTGTTCAGGGTAATCGAATGCAGTATTTTTTGTTTCTCATGAATAATTTAGTTTGAATATGCCAGTTTTAACTAGACTTAAATAATCACAAGTAAAATTATTTTAATATTTTCCTATCGTATTTTAAAGTTTAATTCACGAGCATTTTGCATATTTCTTAACATTCAGTCAAAAAAAAAATAAAGGATTTTTTGTATGAAAATGCTATTGTGTAAAGACAGTATTGGAAAATTTTTGCATGTTATTTATTTATTAAGCAGAGAATATCCAGGGCTTTTTGCTGTTTTTTTGCAATTATATATCTAAGCATTTTCTTGGTGATCAAATATAAGTGGTCCAAAATTAAGCAAAGTAACTCTCTTAGACTACCTGTTGTTATTTAGAGATCTCCTGGGTTCCAGGAGTAAAGACTCTCAGACATCTACACTGCTGCTTTAAGGTGGTCATGTCACTTTTGAGGTCCTAGCCGCTGACCACCAGAAGCGTTTAAGTGCTTTGGACCAAATTCCTCTTGATTGCCTAGAAATATCTGTAATGTTTGTGACTTAGGTCTTCTTGACCGCCTAAAGCTATAGAGAGATTGGTGACTTTGAATTTTAATATACTCCAAACTTGATTAATATAATCAAAATTGAGTACCATATTAAAATGAAATAAAAATCATAGTAGTAAATAAAATATTTCGTGTTTCCCTCCAATTCAAATTTCAAACAATTTAACTATTTTTCACGTTAAGAATCGCATTGCTTTATATCACTTTCAATTACTCCCAAATGTGATGGAGTTTTAATTGTGTATATTTTGTAGCCTCCATCCAAAAGAACATATAAGTAATGAAAGTGAGGAAAATCAATTAAAAGAATTACACCATTAAATAGTAATGTAGAATTTATGTTAATGCTGAATTTAAAAATTTTTAATCTATGATTGCAAATTTGCTTTACCTTCCCTAAGATGTGCTTCACATCCCATATGATGCTTTTTAAATTTTGCTGTTAAATTTTGTTTCACAAAACCATGATCAATAGCAACCCATTGTGTGAAATATTTTGAAATTCTAATTTAGTTCTGTTTGGTTGAATTAGAGTAATTATTAGCTCATAAAATACATATGTCAAAATTATGAAGTATGTGTGGATGTCAAAACATAATCTATTTGAACCTTTTAGATAAATTTAATATACAAGAAATATGACAATATTAATGTTGTTGGCAGAACTGATGATGCTGTATCATTTAAAGACTTTAGTAATTCAGTTTCTGAGTCTTCCGGTTATGGACTGCTGAATTTTGAATAAAGCTTAAGTTTGAAGAGGGAAGATGGTCATAAATAAGATTTAAAGTGAATCATATTGGTGTTTATTATTAGTAGTATTTTCATAGTTTTTTGTTTTTTAAATAAAGCTTGATTCCCCCCCCCAACTGAATAGATTTTATATATCATTTGTATGAAGATAACAGGACTTTATTTTTTAGTTATAAAAATTTTTCGTGCTTTATCTTTCAGAAACGAGGCTATGATTATGAACACAGTGAGTTACTTTTATATCAGAATATGGTTATGCGAGAAGCTGGAAATTTAGAAGATGCTCTTAATCACTTAAACAAGTATGAAGAACAAATTTGTGATAAATTAAGTGTCCTGGAGGCAAAGGGTATGCTTTAATTTAAATGATTAATTCTAAATTTATTATCCTATGACCATTGTTAAAAAAATCTTTTATCTTATTCTTAATAAAATAAGATTAGAAGTTTTTTAAAAAGCTAAAATTTAAGTGTCTTTAACCCCCTGAGTGACATGACTGTCTCATCCGGTCAGGAGATTTTTTGTCGCCTGGTATATATAATGTTATAATTAAAAATTTTTGCTTTTTTTAATTTTCTTTATTAATATAAATATCATCATAATGAATGGAAGTTTATAAAAATAGACTAAAATAAATTATTATAAAAATTAGCTATTAGAAGCTGTTATACAAGTCATTATAAGCACATCTAAAAATCTATGCTACCCAGAGTTTAATAAAGTTTGAATTGTTATGATAATTAGGTACAAATTTAAATATTGCTTGCTGTATGTATTTTTTAAAATTTATGTACAAATATCTTATTTGTCCCTTTTAACAAGCTCGGCAGTTTTTTTGTGTGCAGTTCTTGTGCATGTGTATGGAAACAAGAAATGTAGTACAGCTGTAAATAAATGGTATTAATTGTATCTCTTCTGTAAAGAGAAAGAGCCACTAGAAAATTAAATTAGGCTATAGATTTGATAAAATAAACAGATCTTCAGAGAATATTTTTCTAAAAAGAATTAAGTTTTAAGTTATGAAAGCTAGGAGTGAGTAAGGTTAAAATGCTATTAAGTGGATATGTAATAATTTTGCCAGATTACATTGTGAAAGCGGAATATTATTTTATCATTCCCTGCATCTCTCATCTTTCTGATACATAACTGATTGTATATTTATAATTGTTTATATTAATAGTCTTTGGAGCTGTAGAAATGTAAATGTGATTTAATGCATCATGTTAAATTTATATTCATTTTCAAGAATTTTGATGTAAATTCGGGGATTATTCCGGTTTGTCATTATAGTCTAGTGCTGAAACATTTATATAAAATTAAAAAAAAAGTGAAGAACTTAAAAAGTAATTAACTTTTTAATTATAAAAAACTTAGGAAGTTTTATAATTTATAAAAACGAATTTTCTTTATATATTTTACTTATTTTTATAGATTAGTGGTTAACATGGTTGAATATTGGTAGCTTAGTGTGATCCAACCCTAGGCAAATGGCTATTTTTTATTGTTCTTCCCATGTTATCTGAATATGATAAGCCATTTTCCCTTAGAAATCCTCTATGAAGGCCTCCCAGATTGTAGTTGTATTGCCCTCACATACTTTTCTGTGTTGTTCAGATAAACTAACCTTAATATAAATTTATTAGTGATTTTTAATGCAATCCCAGTATTAAAATGCTTGTTATACATTTTAATAAAATCATATTTTGTACTGGATAACAATTTATCACAATGTTATTAAAGTGGCCTTACATTTTGAATTTTCTTGTATTCTTGTTAGCCCAAAGGGGCTTTGTCCCTGAAGGACTTTCGTTTTGTGATTTTGCGTTGAATCACTATAAATGTCCGTTTCACTTTTTAAACTGTTGCCACCAAATGTTAGAGTTCTGCATTATATTTAAAGAAATTAAATAATGGAATCTGCATAAATGAATGTATATTTCTCGCATTGTGATAAAACAACGGTACATAGAGCTATCGAATTTTGAATGATGTAATCCTACTGTGAATATGGGCATGTGGAAGCCCAAATTTGTAATTTCTTTTATTGTCGATATCATATTTTGTAAAACTTTAATGAATTTTTGAGTAATAAACTCAATGATTTAATAAAAGCAAGCAATGGCAACACTCTACGGCAGGGGGGGGGCTTTTTATTGCCAGCGGGCACAGAACTGTGTATCGGAACTTCTAAAGATATGCTCATTTAAAGTTATTTTGTGACATTGCTGCTGAACTGAATTTTATTGTTTAAGTGCAAAAACATGATATTTAATAAATGAAGGTAACACACAAAACATTTAAAAAATGCCTCTTTGGACGTAATTTAAAATCTGAAACCTTTCAGATTTTTTTATTATAATTTTCTTCAAATACTTTAGGAAATATATTTAATTTCTGGTAGAAAAATAACTGCAAGCATTATTATTGATTATACTGATTTGTATATATTTTTGTCATTGCAAGGGGGGATTAAATATATATTTATCCTTTCAACCTTCTTACATGCATTGTTTCTCATATTTCTCTTCTATAGTTTCATCAGTTTCTTTTAAAATTTATAGATTTACTGATAATAATGATTGTGCATTTTTTAAAAAATATTAAACTAGAGCTTTGTTAGTCAGAAACAGTATTTTCAACAATCTGCTTCACATATTTCATGCCATTCAATGAATTTAAAATTAGCTGATAAAGATTTCTATGATTCTGGAAAACATGAATAGTAATTATCTTTAAAGTCAATTAATTTACAGGAATTGTTGAATATGTGTTCTGTAAAATTTCCTTTTGGAGGATATGTCATTTAAAAATACTGATAATTATACATCACGAATTTACATTAATATTTGATTTCTGTACCTCTCAGTTTCCCATTTAAATATGTGAGATGTCTTTGCCTAAAACTCTTAAATGGTACATTTGTTCTATGCACGTTTATCAAGTGTATGTAAACAATATAGTTAAAAAATACAACATTGTAGTATGATGCCATCATCTTCATACATATAGTATATAATTGGTAGCATTATTTTTTTTTATTAACTCTGTGTAACATGTAGATTTCTTTTTTCATTAAAATGTGGAGTATTTTAAAATTTTGAATTATTTTTTTTTTCTTTTTTTCCTCTTTAGCAAAATTATATCTAGATTTAAAACAATTAAAAGAAGCAAAGGATATTTTTATAGAATTATTGCATAGGAATCCTGAAAATCACATGTATTATGAAGGTCTGGAGACAGCTTTGCAAGCAGGTTATCTCTGTTTTTATTCTTACTTAATACGTTTTGCATATAATTTGAAAAGAATATAGAGATATTTTTATTTATTCATTTGTTGTTTAGATTATATATTATTTTTTACAGTAACTGTTGAAGATAAGATGAAAATTTATAATGAATTTCAAGAAAAATTTCCTAGGGCACAGACTCCACAAAGAAGACCTCTTAATTTCACATCTGGTAAAGTATATTGTAGCATTTTGATTGAATTCCAAAGCTTCCTTTTTCAGTGAAAAATAGTGATAGATCTGTAATTGTATTGATGTTTTAATTGAATGGCTTTATTTTTATTGAGTTCTCGAACAAATCCAACTATTTTCATATAAAATATTATGCATATTAGTTTTACCATTTGTTGTGCATATAGCATTTTGCATAAAATGGGCATATAACAGTTGTAAAATGATTGTACATGCTTTTATCTTAAACTAGGTGTACCCGCCCGGCGTTGCCCGTGCATTTAGAAAATGCAGATAAGTGAATAGCGCAGGAATAGTAGTGTAGGACATGTAGACTGTCTCTCTCTTTCCCCCCCCCACAAGCTACAAAAAAGAAATGAATTGTAATTAATCGATTTAATGTATCGTCAAAACAGCAAACTAACGCTAGAATAAAGAAATCAATTGTTACAATCGAACGTTATTTGAAAACAAATAATAATATCAGTGAGTCAAAAAAACCCGTGATTAATTAATTATAAATAATTTTTTAAAATTTTTCTAATTCAAAAATTGAAAATCGGGCTTCGAGGTCTGGTGGCCAGCCCCTTTGTGCTTCCGTATAAAAAATTCCAGGTCCCTGCGTGCGATAGATTTGGCTGGAGAGCTCGGTCAGACAGACAGACAGACACATTATTATAGTTATTATTATAGATGTAATGGGTTTTAATTATCTGGGGGCCTACCAGCTGCCGAGCGGTAAAGTCGCTGAGCACTGATAGTTCAGTCCGAGGTTCGAAACCCACGAACGGGCTGGCTGCATGTGTGTTTTCGTGGTTTTCCCCATGTGTAACGTGTATACTAGCCAGTTTCCCTTAGAAATTCCTCCACGAAGGCATCCCTTCCCTTAGGCAGATAGCCCTAGTGTGCTTTGCCATATTTAAATACACTAACACCATTTAATTATCTGGGTCATTTGTTTATACTAGATCAAATAAAATTTATGTTGTTTTTAGTTAATTAATATCTTTTTTTTTTTAATCTTTCATAAAGATGACATGCATTTTATTAAATGAAAATAAAATATTCATTCTTTCAGATTAATATGGTAAAAATAAAAATATTTTGTGTTAATTTTAAAGACTATTGTAAAAAAAGAATGTTATAATATTGATGAATTTTTTTATATATATATTTTGTTTTTGGAAATAAATATTTGTGTTAAGGAAGCATTAAATTAATCTAATGCTTCTTTAAAAACAGTATTTGTTTCCCAAAAATGATATGGAATGTATATTTCCAAAACTGTAATGCAAATTTATGTGCAGAACTAAAATGGCAAAATTTGAAATAAAACAAAACTGATTTACATTCATGAAAATAAGTATTTGGCACACAGAAATTAGATAATTAAATTTTTTTTTTTTTTTTCAATTATCTATGTGAACTATGATCTGAGTTATTGCAGATATCTTGATTTTTTATATAACCTGACGAAAATGTATTCTTCAGTAACATTTCTACATAAAAGTTTCCTTATTAACAGAAAAATAATAAGTATAAAGCACAATTCTTCAGTGCCCTGTGTTGCATCACAAAGCTTAAAATACAGTCAAAAGTCTTTAATCCAGACTCGTCGGGACTTCGGCGATTCCGTATTATCGGTTTTTCCAGATTATACATCATCAGTTTAAATCTGGTAAGATGGCATGCAGAAATTCTAAAATTAAAAATATGGAACCGTAATTTATGAAATAAAGAGCAATTATGATCTAAAGGGTATCAAAATTTACAAAAAGAAAAAGCTTAATATTTATTTGTTTACTTTATTAAACATTTCTTTCAATGTAAGTTGTTTAAGTTGCTTCGTTTTATGTGATAATACTTTCTCTTTAATTCGAAAAACAGACATAATTTCTTGTTCAGTTATAGAATCCTATAGAAGTCCTATAATTGCTGTGTCGAGAATACCGACTGATTTGTCAATCAAAATTTTTTCGTTTTCAATAACTTCTGTATCACTTTCTTCACTATCGGAAGCAAATTATAATGACGAGGAATTTGATTTAAATCATATCAAAGACGGAATACATCGAAAAAAAAAAGGGAGCTTAATATTTATTTGTTTGCTTTATTAAACATTTCTTTCAACGCGCACATGCATAAAGCATACGTTACGCATAGTTGAAATTAGAAAAATTGCAACCAGAAAACTATTTGATGTGTATTCGTGATATTTATAATGACGAGGAATTTGATTTAAATCATATCAAAGACAGAGTACATCGAGATGAAATACTACATTTAGTAAGGAATTATAAGCCAAATAAAATAAAGACATCTGCCCTGAAGATAAGGATAGTGCTGACAGATCAACTTCCAGTTCATTGCCCCCCCCCTCCCGGAATGATTAGAGAATCAAAAGATATGCCTTTATCCATTTTTTGCAGCAATTCCACTTTTTTTAAAATTTTTTTTATGGACATCGAAACATGCTTTCGCTTTGTAGATCTTTTGGTAGCTCCAGAATCGGAAATTCTTTTTGACATAATCGAAAGTTCAAGCTTACTTTTATAAAATTGCTCTAACAGTCTGCAAAAAATAATAAGCCGGATCCAATTAGAAGATTGAGGAACAATGCAATCTGCAACATTAACTGAAATAGATAATTTTAGCTTAGCTTATACCGTCCGTTATACATTAAACGCACATGCGTAAACATATTATGTGCATGCATAGACGCATATGCGCATGCGTAAACGTATTAGCTTTGTAGCTTTGAGGTCCAGATTATAGATCATTCCGGATATGGACGTCCGGATTAAAGACTTTTGACTGTATAAAACATAACTGCATGTATCAAACATGAGGTATCCAGTCTGTCCGAGTGAGAGATGAGATGTGTGAAATTGTTTTTTTTTCTATATGTATTAATTATTTCTACACATTTGCTGCAGGTGTAGGTATACAAAAATTCACCAGGAGCCGATCATTGTGAAAACAAAAGGGTTAGTATAGACCTTACCATGTGCTCGCGCATGAATATATATATAAATTCTGAAGTTAATTAGCTAGTAGCATAAAATTATGCTTTCAACTTATAAGCATTCATCAGGTGGTAGTGTAAAATCACATTTTTCAAGTTAACAGTTTGAATGCACTCTGTTTTTGAAACTTACTGCTGTTAAATGAATGAAGTGTTGTTTTTGCGACTACATCTGACCATCTACTGTGTGGCCAAGAGAGTGTTTATCTGTAAATTTGACATATAAAGGGATAGAATTTTTCCCTCCAGAATCATCTACTTTTAACATAATTGTATATGGGATGCAACCATTAAGTAATGCTAAATCAGCATCAGAGCGGTCATGGCATATATATATTACATGATTTTAGATTCATTAATTCAAAACGAGTCAATTCATGAGCCTGAATGAAGAGCAAAAAAAACCTGAAGGAAAATGACTTGAAATCATAGGCATGGGATTGCAGATTTTTTTCACTGTATTAAATCTGAGAAAGATGGCAGTGAACTGTAAACTTAGCAAAAAGGCATGATCAAAAATCTGTCTGTAATGATCATGACCAAAAATCTCTGAAATGATTAGTGAAATGAAATGGCAAAAATCTGCTGTAGATTTCATAAGGAAGATATACAATATAAGAAATGAGATCATTTTCAGTTGTGCAGCAAGAGATCAAGACAGAGAGAAGGTAACATAGATATTTAACTGGATTTAAATATGTATGTTATCTCCGTAAGAATTGTCACCAGCAACGTAGACTGGATTATAGTGGTGGGAAAAGATTTTGTGATCCACTGAGGACAAATTTATGTTCTTCCTAAATGATGCACATATCAGTGTTAACAAGAATCTATATGAAACAGTAGCCCTTTCACATATTGCATTCATTCTCTGAGCCTAGAGGATATGCTATGATGTGGGATGGTTCAATGTGTATGAATTATGTTCAGCAATGGTCTGCAGCAATAAAAAACACCAACTGGGTATGGAGCATAGTGAGAAACTTTTTCTTTCATCAGTCACTGGAGATTTTTTTTTATTTATTTATTTATTTATTTATTTTTTATGATTCCTCCAAAGGTTAAAAGTCCTAATATTATTACTCTTTCTGAATCTAGATGAATAACGCCAGGTTTTAGTGAGCTCATATTATGCAGAATGGGTTAGAGGAGCACAGGATCTCATTTACATTCATTTGTTAAATACTCAAGAAAGACCTGATTTCAGTCTATTGATATATGAGATAGGATAATTTTGGCTATAAATATCTTTGATTGATAATAATGATTTGGACTTGTTTGGCTAATATCACCAAAAATCTTGGAAGATTGTTTTATGTGACTGTGCTCAAAAATAGAAGTGAAGGCTATACATGAATTCATTAAAATAATGTCACAGGATGTGTGCTGTAATTTTATATCATAGTTTTTTCCAACATAATATTAAAGTATATGACTTTTATGGCCTAATAGTGTAACAATTAAGAATAATGCCAGAAATAAAACACAAAGTTAAGCTATGGATTCTTAGGAATAAAATAATTAATCTCCTTATTCTGTGAAGTATCTCCATAAGAGAAGACTATTTTACTTTGTAGTATACTAACAGCTAGCAGTTATGAAACAATTTTCAAGGATTTAATTAATTTTTAAAACAATAATTGAAATCCATTTTTACTTTTGAGAAAGAGTTTTTTTTTTTTTTTGTCATTAATTCCCTCTCCCCCTTTGTGTGTTCTTCCTTTTTTCCCCCACTGTGATTTATATTTTTAATGAGAGTTCAGTGAAAATCTGACAATGTATTAACTCAGCATTTTGCAAAACCTGAATTATTGTTACTATTATTATTTCTTCTTTTCAGGTGAGCAGTTCAAAAATTTAGTTGGAAAATATATTCAAAAAGCTTTACATAAAGGAGTACCACCATTATTTGTTGATTTACGGCCTTTATACAAAGATCCTGAAAAAGTGAGTTTCTTATTTAATAAATAAGTATATTTTTTTATTTAAATAAGTAATTTTTGAGTTCATCACATTAAATGAAAAAATAAATTTTTAATGACGAATTTATTGTAATTATACACATAGCCTTTGCAAAAAATGTAAGTTAAAAAAAATGCTGCCCATTCATGTACCTAGATATTTATAATATTCGAAGGAGATATTGCAAGAAATCTGTAAGTTATATTGCTATATGAAAGTTAATAAATTTATAAAAATTAAAACCAAAATATTAGATTTCAGAATTGAAACAGCTGCTTCTGTTTTTAATGTTCAGTAGCTAATTTGTGCAGGAGACAAATGTCTTCATAAATTTTTCTCATGTATGAATTCCTTTGATGAGAGATGTTGATGGCCAATCTTTTCAGTGTCTTATGGGATATGTTCTTTAGAATTCTGTGTCAGTGGCTATCCTTTTTAATGTATTGCATTAAAAATGATGGTTGTTAACATATAGAATATTGGGGTATCACTTGACATGCCTTTCACTGCTCTAAAGGTATTGTTTCCGATTTCTTACAGAAAAGAGCTGTTATAAAAGAGTAATGCTTCTAAAGTTGACCATGAAAGTTTTCAAATCATTTCTTTTCTTTGTTTCACTAGTAACATGTTATGCTATAATTAAGTTACAATAACACTCAGAACAAATATTAATTTAGAAGTCAGACAAAAAAATCAGTGTTAGATTTTCAAATTTTCACAGTGAAAGTTTGAAAATAGAATGCTGATTTTTCTTATTTGATTTCTAAATTAATATGTTGTGCTATGTTACTAAAACCAAAAATAATGCTCAAGTAGAAATGTTTATCTGAATTAATTGAGGTGTAGTTATTTCATGCAGTTCATTTTAATTCAGGCAGATGATTCAAACTGGAAAAACTTCATTTAAAACTGCTGATTCTATTTTAAATTTTTCCTTATTTGATTATAGATTTTGGTCTAAAATCAGTATTCCTTGTTAATGCTGTAAAAAAAGTCCTTATTTGTAAATTCCAAAAGCTCATATCCCAATTGGCTAGTTTCACCGATCTTGTTAATCTTCCTACTGCAAACACTAATCCCATTTTTAATATCTATAATGTTAATCCTTTGGAAGATCAGATGAAAGTATTAAAATTGAAAGTTTTCAAAAACATCTAAGCTTTGAGTTCTTCAAATCATTGTTCCTGTTTTTAAATTCTCTAAAATTTCTGAAATACAGAAGGTTAAAATCCACCATTTAATTACTCATAACATGAATTTTAATAGCAAATTATTTAATTCAGAAGTCAAACAACAAAAATCAGCGTTATACCTACAAAATTTTCATTTCATTTTTTTTTACTGTGAAAATTTTGTAGGTATAACGCTGATTTTTGTTGTTTGACTTCTGAATTAGTATTTATTCAGCGTGTTCTTGTGTCTTAATTAGCAAATTATTTGTTTTGAATCTTAAGCAGAAGAGAAAGGAGGTATCTTGTGAAATTCATTCTAATCCTAACATTATCCAAAGCTGATAAGGATGGACAGATCATCATTATGAAAAAATGCACATACATTGATGGAATCTCTAAAGTGATAAATGAAAGCCCATACTGTTCAATCCTTAAAGATCCTTCAACTTCTGATCTAACCGAGTCAAAACAGCTTGTGTTAAATCTCATATACTCTCAATTTAGTTTAAAGAGCCACTTAATTCCATCTATTGTTAACTGTGCTAGATTTTATGCTCTCCCCAAAGCCCACAAAATTTAAATTCCTTTTTGACCTATAGTTTCCAACTGAGGAGTGGCATCATATAGATTCTTTGGCCAAATTTTTAGCTTCCATGTTTCACATTTACTTTCTAACGGGATTCACCTTGTAAAAAATTCTTTTTGAAGTCATTATAACTTAGACATTTCTCCCCTGCATTCCAGTATGGCTTCTTTTGATGTTAAATCACTGTTTACTAATATTCCAGTCGAAGGAGCACTAAAATGTCTTGAACTAGACTTAGAATTCCATTTCACACATACTGAAATTGAAGAGTTAATTTCTCTAAAGCCCACTTTCTTGTCCAAAATGAATATTATTGCCAAATTGAGGGATTGGGTATGGGGGATACTCGTCATCCTATACTTGCTTATATTTGCATGCACTATTTCAAGGTCAAATTATTTGAGAAACTGTCTTTTCATCTCTGGATTCTCTACATAGACGATCTTTTCATGTTTTTTTTTTTTTTTTTTTTTTTTTTTTTTTTTTTTTTTTATGGTGACAAAGAAGATATATCACACATTTTATCTATTATAAATTCAAATGATCCAGCCATCCAGTTCACTTTTGAAACTGAATCTGACAATACACTTCCCTTTCTTGATATTCTTTTTGTTCCTTAGAACATTTGCTTGTTATTTGAGGTCATGTGCCACTGATTGAGGATTTTTTCCAATGGACATTAATAAAGCCTTTAAAATTTTACATCTTGCCATCAAATAAAATATTTTGTTCTTAGAAATAACGTTAATAGCCCTTGCTTCCATTTCATCCTTCTGTTAGTTACAAAATTGCATGGATTCTCCAGAGGTTTGATTTTCTTCTTTTTCTTGCCTATCGATAAAATCCTTAATTCGATTCTTGAAAGATTCCATTTCTGACTTTAATTTTTGGGGAATTTATAACATCATGTATCAGTGTGGTTTGATATATATTGGCCAAACTAAAAGTTTCATATCAAGAAATTTTTGTCCAAAAAAGCCAAAATTAACAAATCTTCAATAGCTAATCATAGTGGGAAATTTAACCATGTAATTCATTTGTTAAAAGGTAGAAATAAATATATGTTGCATTAATTAAGTGTGTCATCTGGAAAAGTTTCGATTTTTATAAGAATTTTTTGTAAAATTATAAATTTGTTTTTGTATTTTTGTAAGAATGAAACAATAAAATAATTTTAAAAAGTATCCACCTCTCCCATTGTTTTGGTTAAGCAAGATTCTTGCTAAACAAAGTTTGATAAAGTGTACCTCCCCTCTCTCATTATATTAGGATTAAGGGAATTTTCCTCTGGTGGGTGGGTACAATGTGTATATTTGTTTTTCGTCAGTACAATTGTATAATTGTTAAACTTTTAGTTCTGCAAAACTCATCTTTGTGCAGAACTCACTGTGAATAAATTTTACTTCTTTCTCTGTTTTCTGTGTGAGTTGCTATGGTGACGTTACATGGCCCACCTCATTTCTTATTTTATGTGTATTTCAAGAAGCAGTACTTGTAAATTTATTCCGATTTGACAAATAATTTAAAAAAGCAAAGTTTGGTAACTTTTAAATTATGCTGTACTGAACTTCAGATAACTAATGAATACTGTATGTTGTAAACTGTGATAAGAATATTGATAATATAAATTTAATGATGCATATGTTCAATGCTTTATGCATATGATGCATAAATTAATGATACTTTATGCATATGTGCTAATTATAATGAATCATACTTTTTGTAATACTACAATTTTTATATGTACATTTGTTTTGATATGTCATGTTGTTTAAAGAAGTTTTTTTTTCCTTTAAAGGCACGAATTATTGGAGATTTAGTTCATGGTTATGCTGAATGTTTAATGAGGCACGATGTTTTTACAGAAGATAGTAAGTTTGTTTTATGGGAAATTTTCAGTACAAAGTCTCTAATCCGGAATGATCTATAATCTGGACCTCAAAGCTACAAACTTTATGCACATGCGTAAACGCATAATGCGTTTATGCATGCACGTTTAATGTGTAACGGACTGTATAAGCTAGGCTAAAATTATCTAAGGCATTTCAGTTAATGTTGCAGATTGCGCTGTTCCTTAATCTTCTAATTGGATCCAGCTTATTATTTTTAGCAGACTGTTAGAGCAATTTTATAAAAAGTAAGCTTGAACTTTCGATTATGTCAGAAAGAGTTTCAAATTCTGTAGCTGCCAAAGGATCTACAAAGCGAAAGCGTGTTTCGATGTCCATCAAACAAAAAGTGGAATTGCTGCAAAAAATGGATAAAGGCATATCCGTCTCAAAATTATGCGGGGAGTATGCCATTGGAAAGTCAACTGTATATGACATAAGCAAAAAGAAAAAGGAACTTTTTGAGTATTTTGTGGATTCATTGCAAGTGGGGTGTCGTTATGCTAAAAGTGATGATCATGACAAAGTAATGAATGTTTAATAAAGTAAACAAATAAATATTAAGCTTTTTTTTTGTAAATTTTGATACCCTTTAAATCATAATTGCTCTTTATTTCATAAATTACGGTTTCATATTTTTAATTTTATAATTTCTGCATGCCATCTTACCAGATTTAAATTGATGATCTGTAATCTAGAATCACCGAAGTCCCGACAAGTTTGGATTACGGACTTTGTACTGTATATTAAATAGCTAAAATATGCTTCCCCGGGCGTGAATATTTCGATAAATGATGTTTTTATATCTGGTAATTAACCTTATCATATATTAGGCCCTTAAAATCTATTATCTAAGTATATTCCTTATAAAAATGAAATAAATTGTTCTAAATTGACACTCTAAAACCACATTTGAACATGCATTAGAATAAGAAGCTTTTGCAGATGCTCAGTCAGCTAGATTAGCTTGATTGGTCAGTTTCAGGCATTAGCTGATTCCAGCTCCAGGTGATAAGCAGATTGATCAGCTGCAAAAGCTTCTACTTTTACATATGTCTAAATGTGGTTTTAGCTTGTCAGCCTAGAAGATTTTATTTCATTTTTAACTATGCTTTAACCATCTACTTCTTTTAACTCAATATACAATGTCTTTTTTGTTTCAATACACTGACCAATATAACCTGGAAAGGCCTTTGCATGTCTTATTGTGGTACTACCTGAAGACTTGATGTTACAGCTCACTGAATGTTTTCAACATCATTAAATAGGTATTTTTTCAATGATAAAATCAATTTTGGACTAAAAAATAATTACAGATGGTGGACAGTAAGTCTAGTGAGTAGGTGGGATGGTTAAACTTACACACTTGTTTCTTGGCAAAAAATTCCTGTACAACTGCTGCTCGTTTCATCAGTATATTGTCATGAAGGAGGGACCAACTAAACTGAATATTGAAGTCAAATTAAGAAAAATCCTTTTACATCGTCATTTCAAAAACCTTAGATTAAAAACCCCATTGATGGTTTGTCTGTCAAAAACATATTCACAGTGCCTTGAAATTATAAACTGTCTCTCAGAAGCATATTCTTTATGTCTTGAAATAACAATGACATGTTAATTCTGTCAACTTACCACCAGCTGGAGGGGAACACTATCAAGTAGAGCTCAGACCAAGTGCCTAGTTGCAGGCATATTAAGTAATGCTTGTGATTTAATAGCTGTCTAGCTGCTGAATTGCAAAATCTTTAGTATTCTACATTCAAATTTATATCTTTTGAATGAGTTGAGGGGGAAGTAGTAGAAATGAAGTATCAAAATATCTTAAAAGGGTTAATAACTTCATTTTCGGATGCAGCATACATAATGTAAAAGCCCAAAAGAGTGCTGAATATATATTGAGAAAAATTCTTAACACTTAGTTAATAAAAAATAAGTTGTGTAATTTTCAGCTTTCCATTTGTTGAAATGCAAAAAATGCAATTACAAGGTGTGGCTATTAATTTCCAGGACTGCTCTAATAACACCAGAACAGATTATGTGAAAAACGTAACCTTTTAATATGTTTCGAAGTAATCCCCATCTGCTGTAAAAAAACTTCTGTGCTCGGCTGTATATTGTGGAAACAACTTTTAAAGTCCTCTTTCGAAAGGCTGTTGATGTCTTCAAACTTCACAAAGCGTGTTCCTTTGATCACAGTTCTGAGTTTGGGAAATAAAAAGAAGTCTGCGGGTGCCAAACCAGGTGAGTATGGTGGATGGTGCAGCTCCACGACCTCATGCTTGGCCAAAAACCTCTTCATTAGCAATGCAGTGTGGGAGCGGGCATTGTAATGCAACAGAAACCAACTCCCATTCTGTCGAAAACAGGGACGTAGTCTGTGAATTCTTTGTCGGAGTCGGGCAAGAACTTCTGCATAAAACTGTCCTGTGACAGCAGTGCCTGCCAGGACAAATTCTTGATAAATAAGTTCTTCACTATCGAAGAAAGCGATTAACATGACTTTGACCTTTGATTTTCGAAATCAAAATTTTTTTCTGTTTAGGGGAGCTGGGAGACTGCAATTCTATGCTCTGTCTCTTGGTTTCAGAGTCGTATTGATAGCACAACAATTCGTCACCCGTCACTATCGAATCCAGGAAAGCAGGGTCAGTGTCGTCGATGAGTTCACACATATCCATTCTGACTTGCTTCTGATTGTCCGATAAACAGTGCAGGACAAATCTGGAACACGCCTTGCGTTTCCCTAGGTCTTGCATCAGAATTTGGCAAACCATCTCTTTGTCGGTGTTCAGTTTACTGACCAGCATTCGAATAGTCAGTCGCCGATCCGCTGTTACAAGCTTGTGAACTTTCTCAATTGTTTCAGGCGTACGCATGGAAGTCGGCCTTCCGGTGTGGGCGTCATCTTCCAACGCTTTCACAGCCGTCCCGAAAACGTCTGTACCATTCATATGTGTGGGAACGAGATTATTAGCAGTTGTTTCACACTTTTGACAACAACACTTTACTAGATACGTTTCCACGGGTCTTTCCCAGCCAAGCTTGTGTCTACAACTGACGTGCGCTGCGGGGAGCATGTGTAGATGTACTTCTTTCCAGATACCAGCAGCGCCTCTCTAGGGCAAGTGATCAGTTTCATGCTGTGACGTCAGTCCTGGATATTAATAGCCGCACCTTGTATTTTTTAAATCAACCTTAATTTTTGGCCCCTCTCAAATCTTCATTTTTGCCTTTTGTTTATGTCGTGGGAAGTAGTTGAAGTTTCATAGATTTAATCTTTTGTTTTAGCTAGTTATGCGTATTATAGATCGATTCATTTTTTTGTAATGAAGGTCAATGCCAGTGCATAACTTTATGGTTGTCTATATGTCTATTAAAAATGATTAATTAAAAGCATCAGGAAGCCTGTGTTATCTCAATTCTTAAATTGGTCATAGATCTATTAGCCGTTGTTTGTAATATGTTATTTGTACAATCGTAAATACCGTGTATACACACGTATGTGTAAGCATGTTTAAACATGTCACTTGATTTTGAAAATCAGGCTATGATTTATGAATTATAATTCATGTATTTTCATCTCGTAGAATGCGCATCTATTTTTTTTAACATAGAGTTAAACATCGAAAGCCAGCAGAAAATAGATTAGGGGAACATGACAGAAATCATAAATTTGTGACTGTATGGAACTACAGGCTAGGGTTTCTAAATAACCAATATTTTATAATCATTTATTGCTAATTTAAGTCTTTTTATTGCATATGTGTTATTAAAATGCATATGTGTTGTTTTTTTATAACTTCATATTTATTTTGTAAATATTTTTCAGAAATTAACTCTATCGAAAAGGAGCCTGCAACTGCGCTGTTATGGGCTTATTATTTTTTGGCTCAACATTTTGATTATTTAGGTTGTACTACTAAAGCTTTGGACTATATTAATACTGCAATAGATCACACACCTACGTTAATAGAACTGTTTCTGGCTAAAGCTAGACTATATAAGGTAAGTTCCTGATTTTTTTTCTTTTAAATATTTATAAATAAGTTTAAATTGTAGCTTCAATTTATTTATAATAATTAGTGAATGCAGAAATATTCTTCAGTATTAACTCTCAAAATCATTTGAAATATTAAAAAGAAATGGACTGAATAATAAAGGTACTGTATTTTATTAAATGTTAGAGAAAAGTGTACCATAGACTCTTGATTATCTGAGTCCTGTTTATTTAAGGTTACTTATTATTTGCATAGATTCCAACGACTATAGATTCTCCATAGTTTTTATGGAAATTTAAAATGTTTGAACTACAGAAAGTACCAAAAACTGTGAATCTTACTGAAAGACTGGCAAGGAGTATGCTCATGACATCATGTATTGCACATTAATTTGATGGTCTTGCTAATTTTGAAGAGTAGCTATTCATAATACAGCAAATTCTGACCATTATTTTTCTAATCAAGCACCCTGCAATTCCTGTTCAGTTATTATTGTGAGAAAATGTGTCATCTGTTTCTTGTGAGATGTAATCAAACTGGAACTCTTTTAATTTCAAGAATTCTGCAATCTCAGTATGAGAGGTTAAACTTATCAAGCTAGAACATTAAAGACTTATATTCTACAGAATGTTCATCTTTAAAAATCTAAAATTTTCTGTACAATTATTTGTGATTTAAAATATATGTTTCAACAATATATATGATTTAGCGATATTTCTGCTTCAATAATAAAATGAAAATTTGTAATTAAAGATATGGATAATTAATTTACAAGAAGTATTTTTATTTAATCAGTTTTTTTATATTTTTGGATCACCTTTTTTTTTAGTGAAGGCATGTTTTCTTTGGCATACAGTGTCCCTCTGAAGATTCTACACGATAAATGTGCATCAGATTTTATTAAAGATTGTGACTAAGTGCATGAGGTCCAAGAAAACTATGAATTTTTGGTTTCATTTAAAGTAAATTTAAAATTGCTTCTCTCTGAAAATTGAGATGTGACAGTACTTGGAACTGTGCTTTTATATACATAATATGCAAAACCCATGCAGCAACAACTGCCATGTTCATTGCATTGTTCATTGCATTATGGAATAAACTACAGTAGCATTTTCTACTCTGAAACTGAAAAAAAGTCCTAAGAAGTCAGTCTAGTAAATATAACCCTCTTATTCCTTTATTATACCTCTTTATGGTCAAGGTATATCATTTCTTTTCTTTTGTACTCTTGCAGGGTTCGTATGGTCCTTAAAAGTCCTTAATTTTTTCAAAAATGATTTTTGGTCCTTGAAAGTCCTTAATTTTGGCCAAAATGAATAAACGGTCCTTAATTTTGCTCATTTGACATTTTCGTCTGATTGGCTATTCACCCAATCTTTCAAAACAGGTGTTATCCATAAATTTAGGCGGATTGTGACGAAAGCGTGAAGTTGGAAGTTTTTTAAGAGGCGAAAGTGATGATGAAGGTGCTCGAGAAAAAAAGGGGAGGGGATTCTGAAAATATTTGCCAAAATTAGAGCAGTTCCAACCTGGAAGGCCACAACCCTTCCAACGCCAATAGGAAAGAGATGCCTGGCAAGTGCATTTTCAATAAACTGTGGCCTCATCAAGCTGACTATAAAGACTGGATATTGATGGATGACAATCCTTATAAAGCTAAATGTGGTCTTTGTCTGAAACAAATTGAAATTTCTAGAATGGAAGAGTCAGCGCTGAAAATTCACATGAAAATTAAGTTTCGTTTTATCATTTCAATTTGTTTTTACATGGTTTTGCTTAGCTTAATTTCTGTGTTTGTTTCAATTAAGCCATAAATTAATTTTTATCACCTTCTAGAGTTTATTCTCTTTTGCACATACTATATGTATGGGATATCGGGATTATGAGTTTATTTCTACAGATGGTCTGTTATCGATTTCGTGGGAAATCTGTTGGCTCCATTTCGATTTTAGGTCGCTAAGGGCAAATTCAGTAACGCTAGCCGAGAAAAAGTGAAATTCGGAAATACGTTTTGAAGCTTCAATAGACAATTAAGTATTTGGTTTAATCCTATGTTGTTAATAGTAATGCATTATTTTTGCTAATGGCGATACAATTATTAGTTGAAAACAACTAACTAATTAAAAAATTTTTAATATTTTTAAAGCTGAAAACAACTAATTGAAACTAATTTTCCTGAATTAACTAGACGCAAAATTAACTTTCATGAATTACTAAAGTTATTGGGTAGAAGTTTAACTGAAAATATACATTCCGTATTATATATATATATAATACGAAATATATATATATATATATACAATACAAAGTCCGAGGTTTGGACTCGTCGGGACTTCGGCGATCCCAGATTTGAGATTTTTCCGGATATTAGATCATTTTAAATCACATAGAAATGATGATGGCATGTAGAAATTATAAAATTAAAAATATGGAATCGTGATTTATGAAATAATGAAGCATTTATGATTTAAAGGGTATCAAAATTTAAAAAAGAAAAGAGCTTAATATTTATATGTTTATTTTATTAAACATTTCTTTCAATGTGAGTTGTTTGATTTGTTTTCTCTGCTAATACTTTAGACTAATACTATAGACATATAATTTCTTGTTCAGTTATTAAGTTCCATTGTTCAAGTCCTGTAATTGCTGTGTCGAGAATTCTGAATAACTTGTCAAAAAATTTTTCTCGTTCAGTAACCTCTCTGGTACTTTCTTCACTATCGGTAGCTGTATTTTCTGGATTTAGAACCATACTACAGATTTCGCCCTCCGTTGATTGATGATTGGGGCATTGTCATCGCAATGAAAAACTTCTGTTTAACTTCTGTCGCCTGGTGTTAACTAAATTATGTCGCCTGGTGCGGCCATGCGAGCTCTGGTGCTGGTTCTGGCTTTATGTGAATAACAAATCAGTTATTCTTAATTCAAATAGCACTAAATATAATCGTTTGTCCTATGAGTATCATCAACAAAATCCATTTTTAGCATAAGGAAGGAAATTTCTGTTAAATCTCCCCTTGTCAGCATTTTAGCGCATTAAACTTAAATCTGTAATCGGATAATACTCTGTTATTTGGCGTCGCTGCATGAGTCATCACTCAAGTTGTCATCCGTTGATAAACACGCGGTGATGAAAGCAAAATACAATAAATAATGATTCGCGATTTCGGCATCAAGGATATAAAATATTAGTTGGTGTAAAATTAACAAATGTTTCGGTTTGAGATTATGCCAAGCAGATACGCAGCTATGGAGTCACGTTACTAATCACACAAATTTATGCTAAAATAATTATTTCTTCAATAATGAGATATTTTATTTAGCGCCAAACTGAGATTAAGAATCGGGATTTCCTGCATGTTTTTTTATGATGAGGAAAAGAATCTAATGCGCATGCGTAAAGCATACCCCTTCCCTCCAAAAAAAGCCCTAAAAAATTGGTTGGTGGTGGCTTTGAGGTCCGGATTTTAGATCATTCCAGATATTCGATGTCCGGATCTCGGACTTTGTACTGTATATATATATATATATATATAGTAAAAAATGTATATTTTTAGTATACATTTCTTATTATATATATATATGTACATTATATACATATACACTCATGTCCATAAATTAAGGATAATGCAAAATCAGGCAAAGGAAGAGTTAGAAGCAAAACAAATTTGACTTATTTGTAAAGCTTATTTATGCATCACGAAAATAAGGTCAGAACTCAGTACCTTACTTCTGCATTTATAGGGCATGCAACAAGTGAAATTATTTTATCCAAATATTATGCATGTGTGAAAAACTAGACTTGTCATAACTCTTACAAATATCGATGGATGGTCCTGCAGTAAACTGGAAATTTTATGATTTATTCCAACAGTACTTGACAAAATGTAACTATCCAGATTCTTAAGTTCCAAAAACTGGTATTTGTCTACTTTGATAATGCTCTAGTGCATAAGAGAGTACATAAACAATTTTTGATATAATACAATGTACCTCTCATTTCCCAAACTGCATACTACATTTGACTTCAGACTGGGTTTAGTACTGTGACGATACAGCTACTAGCACCCCCCCCCCCCGAGGGCACAGGTGCTGAAGCATAACTTCCTGTTTGTTCGTGGACGAAATGGACCATACCTGCAAGAAGCAGGACTGCAGATAAAACCCCCTGGGAGTTTCCGAACACAAGGAACTAATTATGTTTCTCTTCGCAGATAACAAAACGAGTGAAATCTTTGTGTAAGAGTTCTTCATGTGATTTTGAGGTGACAGGACGCATCTTTTACATTCTAAACCACGCCAGTGGTTTCTGTACAACAATAGTTTTTTTTATGCTGTAACTACAGTAAAAAGGATGCTTTTTTGCATCCAATCTGCATCAGCGGATATTGTATGATTTAGGGCTGTAATGATCAGTTTATTTTTATGTTTTAATCAAGAAATCTATTTTAGTTTATCAAATAAGTTATTTAAAAGACAACCTGTCTTTCTTTCACCCGACACGGGTGTCCTGACGTTACAGTACCATATTTCCCTATTATGAAAGAGACCTGAATTAAAATGCTATTTGGCAGGTTTTCAAAAAATGACTTGGAAGAACATTCTAGTGAAAGAACAACTGGGATATGTATAAATGTGTTTGACAGAAAAATACTTTTGAAGTGATAGGTTTGAAACCTAAAATTATTTATTTAACATTCAGAGGAATGGACCAAAAAATCAAAGTGCACCTTACATGTCATACATCAATAAAAATTAGTTTGATGCTTCAATAAAAAGGCTGTGTTCAGTTTGAAATACATTAAAAATTTTGCAAATTTCAGAGCTATTAACATATATGTGGATGATATGAAACACAATATGGCAGTATCATTTGTCGAAATATTCAGAAGCTTAACTTTGTTACATATGATTATTCATTAAAATATAAATTCTCTTATTTGCATTAAGAAGTTCAACTTTAGGTACACTAACAATATAATATGCAGTAATCAGAGGTAATAAAAA